TAAAGTGGTATTAACACTTCACATGATCTTGTTTAGTATTAAGATCATAAGTGTACTTGATGAACATGGTGTAAAGTGAGAATATTTCATAGATTATGCAACAGCAAGCCCATGGTAGCTGAATATCCTTGTTGCATCCACATTTGACATTTTCTTGTGCTAAAATCCTACTTAGATTTGGCTTGCATATTATGCTCACCTGGTCTATAGCATGATGCTAAACTCATTCTCCTTCCACAGCTTTAGTTACATGGATATTGGAATTTTTTTTGCTTCAACTGTTGATGAACTGCAAACCTTTCTATCATTTGACAGTGGCTAATTTTAATGCTAATTTTTGGAAACAAGCCATCTTTGCAAAATATGGATTGAAATTGGCTTCTAACCAAATGAAAGAAGAAAGGCATTTTGATGGTTTGTGTGATCAAAGAAACTACTTAATTAAAAAAAATGGAGGTGAAAGCTTTCAAGTCCTTCTAGCTTATGTCTCTGATTATTTAAGGACTTTGGGATAACACAGCAAAATTCCATTAAATACATGCATGAGGATGTGATTCAGTGTATTAGGTACAATTACATGGCTTTAAAGCAAAGGCAAAGATGAGATTACATTATCTTTGCAAAATGATCTTAATGGATGGTAAAGACTGTTCCAGAAAGGGGTTTCAATAATAAACGAAAACCAAAAAATTGATATTGCTTGTATAATTAAAACAGCTACTTGTCTATAGTGATGATTAAGTACAAGAATAATTGAGGCTTTATGGAGTGAAGGAAGTAAGATTAATTTCAGGGACGAATTTGGCAGAGGGGGTGAAGAAGGGATTAAATCAAGCTGTTAGAACTAGATCTTTCTACTCATTTTCTGAGAATGTGTGGTAATATGCATAACTTGATGCAGAGCTATTTTTGTCCTCTCACAAGAGCGTCAACGGAAGGCTCTGACTATTGCCATCTCGTAGAGAAGGGAAACTACTCAATAGTAATTGCATCATCTGATTGCGTAAAGTAGGGAGAACATTCCTCTTGCAATGCTTTCTGCAACAGAGAGACTTTTCATGCCTGGGTTATTAGGTTAGACCCGGCTGGCACTATCCCACCCTTATCTTCAGTGGTGGAAATATGCTGCTTAGAAGTGGCACACTGCCTTTCTTTCTCAGATATATACATACATACATACATACATACATACATACATACATACATACATACATACATACATATATTTGCTGCCCTTTTGCCTTTCTGCAGTGCAAAACTACATCCTTCAACAGCAACTTCATTTATGTATCTCCTTAAAGGGAGATTTCTTTCTTGGCTGGGTCATGTAAGGAGGCTTTTAATTTCCTCCCCCCCCCCGATTTTCTTTAATGCATTAATAGAACATTGCTGTTGTGCCTCAACGCAAGTACGATGTTTAAAAACTTTTTGTATACCAGCAAGCACAGCCTTCTTTTTCTGGTTTCACCCGAGGGGAATTAGACATGGCCCATCAAATAATCTGAGGCTGCAAAATTCATAAGCCTTGGCCATAGTCTAGTGAATGAGGATGGTGGATCTTAAGGCTTTCAGTTCCTTGAAATGGGATAGTTCTTACAGAATAATTGCAAGTGGATTGATCTGATATGATTCCTCCCCCTTGGAAGGTTACCAGTTAATAATAATAATAATAAAGTTGGAAGGGACCTTGGAGGTCATCTAGTCCAACCCTCTGCTCAGGCAGGAAACCCTATACCATTTCAGACAAATGGCTGTCCAATCTCTTCTTAAAAAACTTCCAGTGTTGGAGCATTCACCGCTTCTGGAGGCAGGTTGTTCCACTGCTTAATTGTTCTAACTGTCAGGAAGTTTCTCCTTAGTTCTAGGTTGCTTCTCTCCTTGCTTAGTTCCTACCCGTTGCTTCTTGTCCTGCCTTCAGGCGCTTTGGAGAATAACTTGACTCCCTCTTTTTTGTGGCAGCCCTGAGATATTGGAATACTGCTATCATGTCCCCTCTAGTCCTTCTCTTCATCATGCTAGACATATCCAATTCCAGCAACTGTTCCTTATATGTTTTAGCCTCCAGACCTCTAATCATCTTTGTTGCTCTTCTCTGTACTCTTTCTAGAGTCTCAACGTCTTTTTTTTTTATTAATTTATTCGGATTTTTTTTGTTCATAGTTCCAGATTCCAGCAGTAGAACTATGATGCCACTGTACATTTGTTATTGACACTCTCTTTATATCAATAATACATAGGCCATGTCAGAACACTTTCTGATGGCTCTGCAGTTCTTTCCAATGCAGGGAGATAGGAAATATTAAATTGGTCTGCCCCAAGTGTCTGACGAACCTAACTGGATTCCAGAAGGAACCTTGGTCTGCTGAATGGTCCAACTGAAGTCCTAGTGTCATCCTGCAATGAGAGGGCATTGGGACCTCTGGATTGGATCACACTCAAGCAGCTTCTCCTTACCCAGGGATCCTGGAACTCTCCTTGATTTTCCAGAGGAATTGAGGGAGATAAATATTTGAAGAGATACCTGGAGTGTTACTGAAGACCAATGAGAAGTGAATTAGATCCAATACAGACGTAGGCTTTGCCGGCTTTCTCTTCCTCTGTGGAAGGGCGGGAAAGAAATCTGGGCGTCCCGAGACATCCCACTCTGGGAGGTGATTCAGGTTTCCCTCGGTGTGGGAGGAAGACTTTGGAAACTGCCTTTTCATTTACATTCATGGAAATAGACCACCCTCCAAACCTCAGCCATCCTCTCCACAGTACGCTGCAACTGATCCAAAGCGCTGCCTAAAACAGTGAGGTAGACATGCACACAGATGTGGCGCTATCATCCTCCTGCAACATGCAGCCTCTCCCTGTAAGCAATGTAAATGAATGTAAATGAAAAAGCAGTTTCTAAAGACTTCCTCCTCCACCGAGGGAAACCTGAGTGGCCTGGTGGGGCGGGGTGCCAGCTGGGTGGGCTGGGCCTTGTGGTGAAAAAAATAAGACATCCTCCAAAAATAAGCCCTAATGAGTCTTTTGGACCAAAAATAAATATAATATAAGGGCTTATTTTCAGGGAAGCACAATATTTGCCTATCTGGTAAAATTCTGGAAGGGAAGGCTAGGCTAGAGATTCGATCAACAAAGAAATAGACCCCACAATCAAGTTTCTTGGTGCTGGCCCCCCTCCTTTGGAAAAGCCTGTCTCTGGATATCTCAGCCATCCACTCCCCGTTAACATTTTCAAAATTATGGATTCTTGAAGACACTGTTCTTCAAGAAGGCATTAAGAAATGGTTGAAAAAAATATTTTCCCTTAATGGCGAGGACTGTTCGCAATTTGTAACAGTTATCTTCTTCCCCTATTGTATGTAATACCTTGTAAGCAGTTTGGAGTCCTGGGAAATGGATAGGTGTGTAAACTGAAGCAATAAAGAAATAAATGAACCAGTAATAATAGCTTTTCTCCAATTCTTAATGCATGGAAGAGGCTCAATAAATTGTTTTACCACCTACTTTTATTCAGTAGCCCTCACCCTTGTCCCGTATTTTATCTCCTAGGCTCCACATCGCAACCATAGGCAGAAAATACTTCTCATTTACTCTGTCAAAGCAAGCTGCTGTCAACTAGTCTTGTTGCTGTGTGGCATTCAGTGAATAATTTGAATTGCATATCCCCGCCCTATAGTTCCTGGATTAATATACAATACATTGGCCATCAGAAAGAATATTGCCCTTTGCTTGTAACTGCCCTATTGTTGCTTTGTGATATTTTAGTTAATTTTTGATAGTTCGTTGAAATGTTTAGTAGGTGGGAAGCTGCCCTTAAAGATAAGGTTGGCATTTCCTACAGCAGCTTGAATTTCTTCCTCTCTTCTTATGGTAGATTTAGTAGTTTCATACATTAGACGATTTATATGAGTCACTGATTGACCTTAGGCCTCACCAACCTCCCAAATAACAGTGGATATTAAAACTGTGTGGGCTGCTTTGTACAGCTTGGGGAAAAGTAGACTGTAATTCTAATAAGTAAAGAAATCAATATATAACTCACCCTTCTCAAAATATACCAGTGCCAATGCCAGTAATGTCATTATGAAATATTTATAGAGACTGTATAGCAAATCTACAAATGCCGTCGTCAATATGCAATCTTATTCCAGAATGTTCTACTTTAAAATCCAGCAATAAAAAAATTGTTTATGTATTAAATTTTTATATTACACATCTCACCTCAACTGACTCCCAAATTAGCTGGTCTAAAAGCAGAATTAAGGTGGACATAGGATTATATTCACCCAAATCAAGAATTTAGAAATTAAAACAGATGCCTCAATTATAGATATATCTCATGACATTAATGATGTCATACAAAAGATTTAAGTGAATTTGGTAACATTTTTCAGCCAAGGATAAATTTATATTTTGAGACTAAGTGATGAGTGCATAGACAAAATGGCAGGTGTATCTCCCAATTTACACTATAATTTCCATTGTGGACCTGGGCAGTCAGAAAACACATGCAAAGTCAAATCAGTCCAAAAAGAATCCCCGTTGCATAAAATCTTTGTGGAGAAGGTTGTATAAGATCTACACCCGGTGCACAATCTTTTCTTCCTCCAGATTTGGGCTGACTGAACAAGGGAAAGTATGGGTAGGTGGAAAACTAATTACAGATAAATATAGCTTTGATTCTGCGGTGTCATTATTGATTATGGGGTACTTATTTGCCAAGGCAGCAACCTTAGTTTCTAAAATCCCTGGCTGTGGAATTTGACTGAATTATTTCTGTTTCTTAATGAGAAGAAATTAATATAATATTGGTTGATTATGTGCCATCAAGGTGGTATTAACGCTTAGCAACCACATAGATTTCTTGGCTTCTTTTGCGTGTTGTGTTTATATACTCATGGAAAAATGGAGCCTTGGCTTTGGATTGGGCATTAACCAAATGCATAGCAATTAAAATGTATATGCAACATAAACTACTATGCAATATGTACCTTTTCCCCCTATAGGTTCCAGTTGCACATTGTTTAGGACCCATAGGACATTACAAGAGAAAATTCTGTTCTGTGTGCAGAAAGCAGTTGGAAAGTCCAGCATATCGCTGTGAAGGTAAGCTCCCAAAAGAATGGATTATACTACTAATCAGAATAGCTTAATTTCACTGTTAACTCTTTTTCTCCTGGTTCCGATCTATGTTTTTCTATGCAAAGGAAATGTATGAGTGCTTACTTGATCCTTAAAGAAAAAAAATCCTTGCTGGAAAAAAAATTCAAAAGGAAACCTGTATTCTCCCTTGCAATGGAATTGTGATTGTCAATGAAACATATTCCCTTGTGTTTCATGGCATTTACCACTAAATGGGGAACTTATGTTGTATATAAGAATTAGAATCCTTTATTTGTCCAAGTGTGATTAGACACACAAGGAATTTGTTTCTGGTGCAGAAATTTTCAACACATCACCATCATCATCATCATCCCAATTAAGGGGGGAGAAGTAAAGAAGATAATAAGAAGGATAAGTGTTAATAATATAGCCATACTACATTGGTAAATATATTGTACATAGACGTTAGACAGCACTGTGAAAATTAAGTGTTTAGCAGATCACCTAATTTAAATAACTTTTAAATTTGCATTCAGAATACTTTACTTACTAATTCGATAAGGAAACAACAGTTGTAATAGTTTTTAAAGGTTATCCTAGAAAGACGTAAATATAGAGATGTACATGGATAAACGGATGCAGAGGAAAGTTCATTTTGCTTTCCCCCATTTATTTCAGTGTGTGAGATACATGTTCACACAGACTGTGCCCCCTTTGCTTGCAGTGATTGCCGTCAGTGCCATCAAGACGGTAATCAAAATCATGTGAGTATACTTTTTGCATTTTTACCAAAGTAGCAAAACATTAAATGTTATCTGCAATATGCAGTGTTAGAAGGAAAACTAAAACAGGAACAAAAAGAAAACAGAAAAAAATGAAAAATTGCTTGTGACTCTGTATGCTTTTGTGTGTGTGTATGTGTGTATCAGGAAGTGTTACATACAGGATGTATACATACAGATAAATGTTAAAATATCATTAATATAGTTAATTAATGGTGATGAATTTCAATAAATTTTCCAAACTCTTTGTTATTGGATTACTTTTCAGCTGAATAAATTTCCACCACCTTTAAATAATGCTGATCAAATGAAAAAGGCATCCTAGTTTTTTAGTGTTTTTCAGTAACATATTTGGTAGATAACAACCAAAATTAAATTAATTTATGTCCAGAATCATACAAGTGTAATGGGTTGTATAGAAATTAGGTAGGTAGGTAGGTAGGTAGGTAGGTAGGTAGGTAGGTAGGTAGGTAGATAGATAGATAGATAGATAGATAGATAGATAGATAGATAGATAGATAGATAGATAGATAGATAGGAGGCAGGCAGGCAGGCAAGCAAGCAATGTTGCCCAAAAAACTTTTGACCAAAGGAAATACCTAGTAGAGCATTGCAAGTGGTAACCAATTTGCTTGGATACCTTGTTGACAGTTAAAACCTATTCATTGATAGTTTAGTTTAACAGATCCTCTTTTAGTAGATTTCAGATGCAACAGACAGAATTTCTATTCAATCACCCTTTGATATAGCAGGAATGTCCTGCTGAAACAATCTGAACGTAATAATTAAAACAAAATGCAAAAAAGACATACTATTTTTTTCTACTTTGCATTGTTCAAAGTCCTTTGCATAATAACATCATTAATCAAATAAGGTAAATTACACCATTCTCCTCCATTTATGTTATTATGAAAATAGCATAAATCAATACAAATTACATAATTTGTATTTGATGGATATTTAGGAAGAGTAAACATGCCAGGCGAAATATAGTGCATTAAATCAAGCTTTCACTATGTAGCGTAGTGAAATTTTAGAATTTAATGCCTCTTGGGGATTGCCTTCACATTCAGTTCAATACCACAGAGAGCTCCAGTGAAATCCATCAAGTTCAATTCCCAACCTCACTTCCCAGGGTTTACTAAGTTTTAAAAAATAAATATACTTAATATAATATTGGAGAGATTCACCAGATTTTAAATGAAGGAGGCATGCATTGATTTTCAGATATTATTTAGGGCCATAAGTGATTATCTTGTGTACAAGGGAATGGCTAAACTCAATTCATTTGAAAGAAAATGGGGCTATGAGTAGTCCTTTTCCAAAATCATTTGGTTTGCTTTGAATAACACAGGAAGTAAATTTGCTCAGATACATGAACTATTTTCTAAGTCTTTAACACATAGGTGAATAACTGGCTATTAAATATAGTCATTAAGATTTCTGAAAGTATATTTATGACTTTCTACATAATCTTAGATGTAACTACTTTATCAGACCCTTAATATCTTGTGAGGCTTTAAAAGCCTGTAATAATAATTTATTTATTAAATGATAACAATATTATATGCATATGTTTAACACACACACACACACACAGAGTAAAACTATAAACAGGTAGTCCTTGACTTACAACATTTAATGACCATTTGAAGTTATAATGGCATTGACTTATGACCATTTTCCACACTTATGACCATTGCAGCATCACCATGGTCATATGATCAAAATTCAGACCTTTGGCAGCTGATTCATATTTATGACGGTTGTAGTGTTTCTGCATCATGTGATCACCTCTTGCAACCTTCTGACAAGCGTGGATTTGCTTAAAGACCATATTACTAACTTAACAACTAAAGCAAGAAAGGTCGTAAAATGGGACAAAATTCACTTAACAACTGTCTTGCTTAGCCACAGAAACGTTGGGCTCAATTGTGGTCGTATGTCGAGGACTACCTGTACTCCTTAACTCCCAGTGACCTTGGGTGGTTACTTTGGTTAAAAAAAAGATAAAGCTTCTTTTGATTCAGACTTAACTCTTTGATGACTGCCTGTCTATTGTGTTCTTTTGGCAGCAATACAGAAATAATTTGCTTCTGCGTTCTTCTCAGATACTTTTTAAAAATGTTTCCCAGTATGATCTGTTGGGTAGCTTTTGGATACTTCCTCAGTGGAACTGCATCTACATGGAGGGAAGTGTGTACTGGGGTGCCCCAGTGCTCTGTTCTGGGCCCAGTGCTCTTCAACATCTTCAATGATCTGGATTAGGGGATAGATGGGGAACTCATAAAATTTGCAGGCGACACCAAGCTGGCAGGAATAGCCAACACTCCAAAAGACAGGCTTATGATACAGAAGGATCTTGATAGACTTGAATACTGGGTGCTATTTAACAAAATGAAATTCAGTGGTGAAAAAAGTAAGGTTCTACATTTAGGCAAGAAAAATCAAATGTACAGGTATAGTATAGGTGGTACCTTGCTCAAAAGTAGTAACTAGTGGACAATCACTTAACTATGAGCCAGCAGTGTGCTACAGCTGCCAAAAAAGCCAACACAGTGTTAGGCTGCATTAACAGAGGGATAGAATCAAGATCATGTGAAGTATTAATACCACTTTACAATGCCTTGATAAGGCCACACTTGGAATACTGCATCCAGTTTTGGTCACCATGATGTAAAAAAGATGTTGAGACTTGAGAAAGAGTACAGAGAAGAGCAACAAAGATGATCAGGGGATTGGAGGCCAAAACATATAAGGAATGGTTGCCGGAATTAGGTATGTCTAGTTCAATGAAGAGAAGGATAGGGGGGGGGGACATGATAGCGGTGTTCCAATATCTCAGGGGCTGCCACAAAGAAGAGGGAGTCAGGCTATTCTCCAAAGCACCTGAAGTCAGGACAGGAAGCAACGGGTGGAAACTGACCAAAGAGAAAAGCAACCTAGAACTAAGGAGAAACTTCCTGACAGAACAATTAATCAGTGGGACCACCTGCCTCCAGAAGCTGTGAATGCTCCAACACTGGAAGTTTTTAAGAAGAGATTGAAACAGCTATTTGTTTGAAATGGTATAGAGTTGGACTAGATGACCTCCAAGGTCTCTTCCAACTTTATTATTATTATTATTATTACATTCCCATCCAAGTTCCCAAGTTTGATCCTGTTAGGGCAAAACATTATGATGCCCCCTCTTAACATAATTCTTGTGATTCTGCTTCTCTTTGTAGGATATGTGCCATCATCACTGGAGGGAGGGAAACCTTCCATCAGGCTCACGTTGCAAAGTTTGTAAAAAAACGTGTGGCTCTTCCGACGTGCTCTCGGGTATGAGGTGTGAATGGTGTGGCATCCTGGTAAGCATATTAAGGGGTAGGCAAGTCTCCAAGGAAACACAGAATAGATATATTCAAAAGAAAAGAAAGCTGTTTTCCAAAAGACCTTTACAATAACTGTATGGAACAAAACACAATATCGAAGCGTACATTAAACCGCAAAGCAGCTATTCTGGGAAACCATCATGGCCTTTGTGGGTGTTCCCTTCTTTAATAATAAAAATGGTTATTTAAATTCATAGAAGGTATTGGTACAACATAAAGCTAGAGGTTAAATGTTTAGCTTTCAGAGCAAAACATTTGTTCCTTTGAATAGCAGCATTAAATAGAAAATGCTACTTAATAATAGAAATAACCTAGAATTATTTCCACTGTTAAAAACCTAGTGAGCAGAGATGAGGATGGTCAAAGAAATCAAGATAGTGACCACAAGGATGTGACTGAACCTGATTCAGTCTGCCTATTTTTTACGGCCACCATCTTGACTCTTTTGACCACACTCTGGGGATGTCCCTGTAGCTAAGAGAAAAGTGTATTAGGAAGTTTTGGCAAGGTTTCAGCATACAAGTGGTCCTCAGTTAATAACCACTCGTTCATCAACTGTTCAAACTTACAAAAGCATTGAATGAGTGGTACTTACGACCAGTCCTTAAAGTTCTGGCTGTTGCAGTACCCCACGGTCATGGGTCACTCAACAACCAGCCTGGATTTCCACGATCATACAATTGTGATTTGCTGGCTCCCTACAAGCAAAATCAGCAGGGAATTGGAAGTCATGGTCATGTGAGGTCCTCACTTAATGACCTGAAGTAATTCACCTAACAGTGGTAACCGGGGCTTGCCAGAACTGTTGTTGCTTAGCATTCCAGACATAGGATTTTGCACTTTAGAACCGCATTGCTTAGCAACAGAAATTCCATCCTCAATTATGGTCATTAAGCAAGGACATAGGTGTGCCTTTGCTTTTACTATTAAAAACAGGCCGTTAAAGTTTCACCTGAATTAAACTTGAAAGTATTTTTTCTATTCTACTGTCAGAACTTGAAACCATCCAGACGCACAAAATATCTTTTGCGCTGTGGAGATTAAGGAAGCGAAGACGTGTGGTTAATTTTTTATCTTAATTAGCAAACAAGATAGAAAACATTCTAACGATTAGTAATCCAAAATTCCTGGATGTTTTGCTGACTACTTATTAAATCAAATAAGCTTCAGAATTATTAGCATAGTGTTTTTTTTGTGTGTGTGTGTCTCTGTGTGTGTTTGGTTAATAAATCTCTACAGATGGTAACATTTCTACTACCATGTTTTCCCAAAAATGAGACCCGGTCTTATGTTAATTTTTGCTCCAAAAGATGCATTAGGGGTTATTTTCTGGTTAGGTCTTATTTGGGGGGGGGAATTACGGTACTAAATGCATCCGTCTGGCTGACAATCTTAATTGGGGCTTATTTTTGGGGTGGGGCTTATATTATGAGCGTCCTGAAAAATCATGCTAGGTCTTATTTTCCGATTGGGTCTTATTTTGGGGGAAAGACGGTAATTATACATAGGAAGAAGGGTGCCCATTTAGTCTAGTGCAGGGGTAGGCAACCTTGGCTCTTTTATGAGTCGTGGACTTCAACTCCCAGAATTCCTGAGTCAGCCATGCTGGCTCAGGAATCCTGGGAGTTGATGTCCACGAGTCATAAAAGAGCCAAGGTTGCCTAGCCCTGGTCTAGTGGTTAAGGCACTAGGCTAGAAACTGGGAGACTGGAAGTTGAAGTCTGGCCTTAGCCATGAAAGCTGACTGAGTGACCTTGGGCCAGCCTAACTCACCTCACAGATTTTTTGTGAGGAAAATAGGAGGAAAAAGGAGCATTAGATATGTTCACCACCTTGGGTTGTTTATAAACACAATAAAGGAGGGATATTAAATAAATAAAAGTTTAAGAATAAGAAAAAGTAAGAAAGACTAATAGACTTAGTTTGGCGTAATGGTTAAAGCAACAAGTTAGAAACCAGGAAACTGAGTTCTAATCCTGCCTTAGGCAGAAAGCTGGCTGGGTGACTTTGGGTCAGTTGCTCCCTCTCAGCCACAGGAAGAAAGCATTTTAAAAATGCTGCCAAAAGACCTGTAGGGACTTGTCCAGTTGTTGCCAGGAGTCAAGACTGACTTGAAGACACACAGGAGTACACAAAAGAGGTCTGATAGCATGGAGTAGAACTATAGAGCAAGAGTAATCTTAAAAGAACAAGTAAATGTTAGCTGGTATTTCTGATGATATCAGTACATATTTTATAAATGAACAGGAAACATTCTTGTGTTCAAATGATTTCCCCATTCTTTGTAAGAAGAATATGATTTTTCTAAGTGTGAACTTTCTTCCTCCACTAAAACAGTTTGTAGTTGTGAGTATATAGACACTTGCATAATTATCAAAGCTCACATATGGATTTGGATTTGTAAGAAATTAATAGTGTCTGTAGTTACGGCTAAAAGAATGCTGACTAACATAGCACTGAAAATACAGTGATACAGCTCTGAGCTGCATAGCAGGGTTTTTTTTGGGGAAAAAAGCATTAACTTTGACAAAACTCCTACCATTTCTATTGTCTGTTTTATTGCTGCCACTGTAGAGTATCACAAACTACAGAAGACAAAAATGTAGTGCTGCAACCTGTTGGCCATCTGACACACCTTCTTGAGAACTTGATGTTGTGTTTTCTGCAGGCTCATGCTGCTTGCTATGTGATTGTGCCTCCAGAATGTACTTTTGGAAGATTAAGGAACATGATTCTTCCCCCCAGTTGTGTGCGATTATTTTCTCGGAATTTCAGTAAAATGCACTGTTTTCGAATATCAGAAAGTATACAGACAGAGACAGGTAAAGTTCAGAATGGGCCAGGTTAAAATGGTTTCATTACAACTGTTTTCTCTCTTTCTTTCTCTGCCTTTCTCTTGTATTCACATTATTATGAGTTGTTGTTAAATAATACTATGACTTGATTTGGTTTATAACAGGTAGTCTTTGTTTAGTAACCATAATTGGGACTGGAAACTTGATCATTAAGCAAAGCAATCGCTAAGTGTAGCCGTTACTGTTTTTGTGATCTTACTTCAGATTTTCTTTGCTTTACAGGCTTGCTAAGGTAGTAACGTGGGTGCTGGTCGCAAAGTTACCTTTTCATCACCTTTGTAACTGCAAACAATTGCTGACCTCGCAAAATGAGGACTACCTATAATATGTAATCATCAATGTAAATTGCTATTCTGGCAAATGATTTGGTGATTATTTTTCTTCCAAGAAACATTGACAGGTCTATAGGTTTCAAAAAAAGATATGAGTTGAAATGGCATACCCAGTTCAAAATATCAGGAAACTGTGGTTTTGGGGGTTTGGTTTGAACTCACTAAATATAAGAAAATGCGTTAACTCTTTACTGGAAAAAGAGGATGATGACAGCAAACTAAATTAATATTTTGGCAAAGTAGTAAGCCACTATAAAATTTAAATCCCTAGTTTATCAAAAATTGTATAGTACAGCCTTCCTTCCCTATGTCTTACACATAGATTGAAACAATAGTTTCCACAATTCCTAGCCAACTCACCAATTACAAATTTATAGCGGAAAAAAAGAGGTTACTATAGCACAACATGGGATAGATTTGGTGATGGGACAAATATGCAAACTTGTTTTTTACTTGATTTATTTGCTTGGATTATCCTGAAGAAACACTGTTCGGAGTCTATAGCAATATTTTGCTGCCCCCTACAGTACATCTTAGACCAGTATTTTCATTTTCAGGAAAATTTATTTATTTTATTTAGCAAATTTATGTAGCTGTCAATCTCACAAATATGTCTTTGGATGACTTATTTAAAAACATCCCCCCCCCTCCATTCAGTTATGTCAGATTCTCAGAGACTTTCTGGAAAGGTCCCTGCAGTTTTCTTTGCAAAGTTTTTCAGAAGTGATTTGCCATTGCCTCCTTCTAAGGGCTGAGAGAAAGTGACTGGCTCAAGGCCACCCAGCTGGCTTTGTACCCAAGGCCAAGAACTCACAGTCTCCCAGTTTGTAGCCTGATCCCTTAACATCACTACACCAACTGGCATGCCAGTTAAATTTAATTGTTTAATTAAAAGAAACATAAATAAAAAGCCAAGATACTTCCTTTTTAGATTTTTGGTGAGTCTTTCCCAGGGGTGTCATCCACCCATTTGTATTCTTTAAACTACAGAGTAAGCATTTCCCAACATATTACATTTCCCAATCCCTGAGTCCCTTGGGATTGGGCGGCATATAAATAAAATAAAATAAATTAAATAAATAAATAAATTACAGGTTTACCAGCCACCTCTTTTTTTTTTTTTTAACCATCAGCCAATTATCAACAGACATCAACGTTTAAATCCATGTAGGTGGCCAACTGTTGCATCTTAATTCATGTTTTCTCCCAATTCTTCTTCCCCAGAATTTAACACACCCCCTCTGAGTATGTTTCTTTCTCCTCTATGTTTCTTTTTCCTCTATGGGAACACTATTCTATGAGAAGCTAAACCAACTGATAGTCTCAGCTTTGTCCATCAGTTAAGAAAAGGGATGGCAGAACCTGGGGATGGAATCAAAAGAGGAATCAGCCTAGAGTCACTGCGTAGCCAAAAATAGACCAAATCCACTCTCTCTTGAATCCTGTTGACCCTTATTTAGCACATTTATCTTGCACTTAAGCATGAGTAGTAAAAAAAAAAAAATCAGTTAATTGGAACATCATGTATAATCCTGACATCAGCTGCCCAACCAAAACCATGTATTTTTAAATTTCTCCATGGATTCAGGAACCCCCCATAGGAAGCTGAATATAGATTTTTGCAATATCATTTTCTTCTTCGTAAAAATAATAAATAAAACTTCATAAATTTGTGCCAGGTTCTTTGATTCAGGAGCAGAATGTTCCAGGGTTAATGAAGTTTGCACATCTCTGCTGTGAAATAGTTTCATTGTGGCTGTAGGGATTTTTAATCCCCCAAGGGCATAAATGCCATTAGTATCCTGATTCAGCACTTTTCATTATGTAGTAGATGATATCAATGCAAGAAGAGCCATATTGGCAGTCCTTTTTTTCTGAATACTGCAGTGTCTTTAAAACAATACATTAACTCTGTGCATCCGCCATACAAAATGCCTTTCTCAATTTTTCTTTCCACAGATGACGATGATGACGTTGATAATTCAACACAGTCATCACTAAAAGAATCCCAGGTTTCTGCCGATTCCAGTAAGTGGCATTCAATACTAAGTAGAGATTCTCTCTAGAACGCAAAGGTTTATACACAGATAATTTGCAGGTTTTTTTTACTGTGCAAAATGTTCAATCCAAAAGATTGTCAAGAAGCTGGTGTAGAGATTCAGGAATATGACCTTGCAGAAATATGCAGGAACCCTTACCTGACCAAATGCAAACAATGAGATAACATTTGGAAGCTGGTCAGGGAGATGCCTCCTTGATTCATAATATAAAAAGGAGAAGAACCAACACAGTTCTGACTTGTTAGACTTTGTTATTATAGCCAATTTTAATGAACATTTTAGCCTTTCTTGGAGAAGATTTCCTCATATGGCCTACTAGTGCAGCTGACAGCTAGCCAGCTCTTGTTATAATTGACAATATTATTATTAAACAATGATTAACTCAAGCTGTTCGTGTGATTCAGCCCTTCAAAGTGTCTGTGATGCAGATTCTTTGAAATACTAGCTGTTATTGAATATTTTAACATCTGTAAGGTTAAAACTGCTAAATTAACCTAATATCATAACTATAAATGACATATGAAAAGAAATCCATTGCGCTCTCTATTGAATTAAATAATTGTATTTATTGTGATTGATTGATTGATTAATTGTTTGTACACTAGTTTCAGTGTGAGTTAAAGAGCGGAATTTAAATTGTACTTTTAAATATAATTGTTATTAAAAGTGTTTTTCTACAGAGTAAAACAATATAAATGTTGAGTTAAAGAGAAATAGAGAAAAGTAATAGAAAAGTGAAAAAGAAATATAGAAAAAAGTAGAAAAGGAAAAAAGAATTAACAAAGAAGTGTTTTTTGGTCTTCTTAACAGCAGTTATAAGAACTCTTATATTTTGCTCTCTCTCTCTCTCTCTCTCTCTCTCTCTCTCTCTCTCTCTCTCACATCAAAGTTTCCTTCTTTCCATTATGTAACCTTTCTAGTCTTCCGATCAATAAAATAATAATCAGTTCATTTTCTTTTTTCAGCAAAAAGTCCCTAAGGAGTTTTTAGTCTCTAATACAGCAGCTCCCAATCTTTTCTATACTCCGCACCCCTAGAATGCTTCTGATATATTCTCGCATCCCTTACAAAAGTTCAAAATAACGGCAACAAATTATGCATATACGCTATAATTTTGAAGACCCAAGTTTCTGCACCCCCTGGAATATCGTCTCGCACCCTCAGCCTGGGAACCCCTGGTCCAATAAATGTAGCAGCTGATCTTTCCCTAAGCAAACAATTTTTCTATCTCTGCTAAGACTTTTTTACCAATCCTCTGTTGTGGGTATTTCAGAATCTCCACACAGCAATGATCATTTATAAAAACAATGTGTAATGGCTTTTTTCTAGTTGTCTGTGCATTAATCCCAACTAAAAAGTTCTTGGTTCAATTGAATCTTTGTCTCCATGATTCTGTGTATCACCAAATGTATTTGAATTCAAAATGTTCTGGCTGTTTTACAAGTCCATCAGCCGTGATAAAAATGACCCTTCATGTTGTCTGCATTACATTTGTAGTACCTTTACTTAGGCTAGATAATTTTTCTGAAGTCATATATCAATGGTACATCATTTTATAAAAATTCTCCTTTAGATTTTAATGTGAATTCCAATCCTTTCGGCTACTTTTTCCCACTGTTCCAACAATGTTATGTCCCAAATTTTCAGCCAGTTTTATCCTATACTCTTTCATGTATTCATTTTCCATTTCAAATTTCAGCAAAGAGTGCATACATTTTGGCAATTACATGTTCATCATTTGTACATAATTCAAATTCTGTCTCCTGTTAATTCCGAATGTCCTGTTAATTACCTTAAATCTTTCTCTTAACTGTGCATTTGTTTGTTGTACTTTTCAGCCACGAGGTCTCCAAAAATGATTTAAAACGCTTGCATTTGATTTAAGGATGGGGATCACTTTTTTCTTTCACCTATGGCCTTCCTGTTGATTTCAGAATCTTTTCATGCACTAGATGCAGAGGTAGCCCCCTGAGCTTTTCATGCTGAAGATAAAATATTTGAAGGATCATCCCTTCCCACATTAGAATAGAATAGAATAATTAGGTGTTTTTCATTCTAAACAACTATTCCTCCTCCACATGAAATATTGTCTGCTAGGGCACAGATGCCATGTGCTTTCACAGATTCTGCAGTACTGCTTGAAGTTAAATTAAATATTAAATATTTTAAATATAAAATATTCCAAGTAGAATGCATGGTCCTATTTTCTATCCTGTGTTCTTTAACATGAACTCAATAGGTGAATAAGGAAATATGAAATCTGAGATAATCGTAGATTCTGATAATTTTCTTTCTAATTTCATAATCCTCTGAGTTTTGGATTGTGCTATTCTTTCTTCTCCCAAAATTAACTGTAGATTTTTGGGCTGAAATATAAATCTAAAACTGTCTTAACTATGAGAGAAGTCTGATTTTATGAAATCAGATTGTGTTTTACAACAACTTATATTTAAAAAGCAACTACTTAACCAGCATGTTTTTAAGACCTTTCTAATATTTTTATGGTTATATTGAATACTTAGCTGGATTTAGCATACAGTTTTTTTTATATTATTAACATTTTCAGAAATAAGGCATAAAGTAACAGAATCTCATGGACTGAGCCCTAAAACATTGTGAAGCCTCTATTAAGAAAGATTCAACATTTTTATTCCTGATTCACAGTCTGTTTTTATTAATTTTGTTTTATTTTTATATGAACAGTGTTTTGTGCACATGCTAATTGGTTTTAGTTTTTAAATTCTATGTGTTTCTGTTCTCAGAGAATTTCAAACTATTTAAATATTTCAAATTACAGTTCTGGAGGCTTATTTTACTCGTGTCAATATTTCTTTCATCCTTGGTACCTCCTAAACTTTGTTCCCTGAGCTATAAAATAGAGTTCATAGCATGAAGTGCTGAAGATCATATTGGTTTTGTCAATTTTATATGCTTTTTAAAATTGTGCTGTGACTCATTTTTTGCTGTATAAAATTAAAATTATTACTGTCTTAGGATGATGAAAATTTAGCACATATTGTCTATAAATGGAATTTGGGTATGACTGTGGATGTGAAGCTGCTTTTCTTAAGCAAGTCTAGATTGTGTGGACCATTTGAATGGAAGCTTATATAGAAATGGAGTTTAGCATTATGGCATTGATGGTTTATACTTATGAACCCCGGTGGCGCAGTGGTTAGAATGAAGTATTGCAAACTAACTCTGCCCACTACCAAGAGTTTGATCCTAATGAGGCTCAAGGTTGACTCAGCCTTCCATCCTTCACAGGATGGTAAAATAAGAACCCAGATTGTTGGGGGACAATATACTGACTCTATAAACTGCTCAGAGAATACTGTAAAGCACTATGGGGTGATATATAAGTGTAAATGATGTTGCTGTTGTTGTTGCTGCTGCTGTTGCTATGAAAACTGGCAGACTTGTATAGCCATAAATCATGATTTTGGGTAATTAACATTGGTTCTCAAGATCTGTTTGGATTCAAATTTAGATAGATCATCCAGGATTGTAAATGAAAAGGTGCCAATGCAATTTCTAAGGATTTAGAATAATGGAATCCACATGTCTTTTAAATCCACATGTTTTAAAGTTTCCACAGTTGAGAGACACTGCACTTAGAGGACTTCTGACTAATGACTATCTAGCTTCTGATTAAAAAATGTGTAGGTCTTAAACATAATTTTGTTTAATTCTCTGATCAGTGCATGATCCACTAGAGCAGTGTTTCTCAATGGGAACCTCAAGACATATGGATTACAACTGTCAGAATTCTGGGAATTGAAGTTCACATGTCTTAACGTTGCCCAGTTTGAGAAACACAGTACTAGAAGACCTCTGACTGATGACTTATCTAGCTTCTGATTAAGGAGCTTGTAACAAAGGAGAAGTCTTCATATGGTAATCTCTACTACTGGATGACAGCTAGTGCAGTCTGATAGCTCACAAGTGGAAGAGAAAATGTTTTTTAAAATACATCTGAGAAATCTTTGCTTATTTCTTATAGACCAGATGTTACTCGATGTAGTCTCTTTGACCAGTGTAAATAATAGAACTTCAATCACAATCCATTAATATTGCAATTAAGAATTACCTTTCAAATGCCTCAGCAATTTGGAAGCGTATGCTACTTAACTGTATGTCTTGTGTAATATATTAGAATACTTGTTTTTGTTTTAGGTAAGCAAATATTAAAAATATACGATGGGAATGACGCAGTAAAACGTAATCAGTATCGTCTCATTACAGTTCCGAGGATTGCAAAAAATGAAGAAGTTGTGGTAAGAATGCCAATAAACCAAATTGACTTCTCTGTTTATTGAAAATTCTGTAGAATTTATTTATGCTTGTAAGAGAGACTAAAAATTTGGACCAAGTGTTATTCTTTTATGGCAAAACAGTAATCAGTGAGAAAGTAACTACTAGCTGGTATAGTACCGACATAGATATCTGTTTTTTGGTCTCTGGTCTTTGACTGTAATAAACTTACTTGAGTTAATATCCGTTTTTAAGTTTTAACTTAATTTTCAATATATTTAACAGTGCCATGTGCGTAATGTTGCTACTTGTATTTTGAGTTTTGATTGACATTAAATGGGGAATCAATATTTGGAGGTTATTAAGTTATGCCTACTTAATGGGAGAGGACATCTGGTTACCAATTGTTACTGTACCAACAAAGGAATGGAATGGAATGGAATAGAATAGAATAGAATCTGGAAGGGACCTTGGAGGTCTTTTAGTCCAGCCCCCTGCTCAAGCAGGAGACCCTATATCATTTCAGACAAGTGGCTGTCCAGACTCTTCTTAAAAACTTCGAGTGATGAAGCACCCACAATGTCTTAAGGCAAGCTGTTCCACTGGTTAATTGATCTCAATGTTAGGAAGTTTTTCCTTAATTCCAGGTTGCTTCTCTTCTTGCTTAGTTTCTATCCGTTGTTTCTTGTATTGCCTTCTGGTACTTTGGAAAATAAATTGACCCTCTCCTCCTTGTGGCAGCCTCTCAAATACTGGAATACTACTATCATGTCTGCCCTAGTCCTTCTTTTCTCTAGACTGGCCATTCCCAAATCCTGCAACCATTCTTCATATGTTTTAGTCTCCAGGCCTTTAGTCATCTTAGTTGCTCTTCTTTGCACTTTTTCCAAAGCCTCAACATCTTTTTTGTAATGGGGTGACCAAAACTGGATGCAGTATTCCTGATGTGGCCTTACTAAGGCTTTTTAAAGTAGTACTAATACTTCACATGAGTTTGATTCTGTGCCTCTGTTTATACAAGCAAGGGTTGTATTAGCTTTTTTGGCTGCTGCCACACATTGCTGACTCACGTTTAAGTGATCGTCCACCAGGACTCCAAGGTCCCTCTCACAGTTACTGTTTTGAGCCAGGTTTTGCCTAATCTGTACTTGTACCTTTGGTTTTTCCTGCCCAGGTGTAAAATCTTGCTTTTCTCCACATTATTATTTTGTTGGATGGGGCCCATTGTTCAAGTCTGTCAAGATCTTTTTGGATTCTGAGCTTGTCTTCTGGGGTGTTGGCTATTCCTGCCAGTTTAGTGCCATCTGCAAATTTGATGAGATCCCCTTCTATTCCCTCATCTAAGTCATTTATGAGGATATTGAAGAGTACTGGGCCTAAGTAAAGCTTCTGTGAAGTTCAGTTTGATGACTGGACGTGTCCATATTGATTTCTTAGTAAATTTAAGAAAATAGATTGCTGGTTTCTTTTTTCTTTTTTGTTCTGAAATGTCATTGCAATTTCTCAATCTATTCTGAGACTTTGGAATGGCGGAATAATCTCCCATCCTAGGGTTAACTGGGTTTGTTCCCACTTAGCATTTTCAAGAACAATCTAGGATGGGATACATTGGTAATTGGGATACATGATAATGTATAATGATAGAACTTGCCAATATTGAGGAAAGATTAGAATTTCACACTTTTTTCAATCTTATCACAAACATCTCAGGGAAAATGTAACTGCTGATTGGAATTGTATATTTGACATAAAGTGAGGGCTGTATCACCATTCCATTCAGGCATATTCTTTTGATTTTTTTAAAAAACGAAGGATTTACTGTTGTAGGAGGCTGCGCTGAGGGCGTACTACATCAATGATGATCAACAAGATTACGAACTTCAGACATTCACTCAGCAGGCCTTGTTTTGTGACGACATCATTAATAGGAACGATACAACTGAAGAGGTGCAGCCGGGGTCTGTCTTCCCAGAAGCAATTCCTGAGGCTTGGGTTATCAGAGCTAAACCTAAGGAGAACGAAGTCATAAAGATTTATCCTGGCTGGCTGAAGTGAGTCATCTTTTTCTCAGCAAATTCCAAATAGGAAGACTCTTGTTGCATATTTATTGACCCAAAGAGATGCCCCTCTCCCAAAATATTACAGAAAAAAAAAATCAGCAGACAAATCAGATTAACCTTGGGTTGCTAAATCCATCAGAAACTAGTTTTTGAAGGAGTAGTTGTGCTGGGAAAAGAAGAAAGAGAAGAATACGATTAAATGGGAAGAAAGAACTGGATAAGGAAGGGAAAGAGAGATGGGGACAGAGAGAGACAGAGACAGAGAAAGTTAGAGAGAGAGAGAGAGAGAGAGAGAGAGAGAGAGAGAGAGAGAGAGAGAGAGAGAGAGAGAGAGAGAGAGAGAGAGAGAGAGCCCTGTCCAGACATAACATGGATTAAATTCTTGAAGCAAACAGCTCTTTCAAAGCAGCTGCTAATCTTCAGGCTAATCTTCAGAGGCATCCATGCCTTGCAGCAGCAAATTACTATGGTGATATCTAGCTCCTGTATAGATCTCTGCTTTTAGCAGCTGCTTCTATATTTACCATAAAATGCAAGAGTACCTCCCTCAATTCATTGATCCCTCTTATATGAAGGATACAAGAAGGTTGAAGTTGAAATCTTCCCTGCTTGGAGTTCTATATCTTGAACATATCCATGTGTCTGAACATATCCATGTGGCTTGTTTGATAACATTTCTTGTTGGCTTCCTGTCAAGTATTAATAAAGTCAGACAGGAGTTGCTAGCTACTATGGCATAATATCAAAGTACTGAGGTTATTTATTCTATAATGCCCATCTTATACACAAACAAACAACTTTTAAGAGTTAGTTAAGTACATCCAGGTAGCCACTACACTGCATTATTTTAACACCATTTAGGATATGGAAAGCTCTTGTCTTTTCCTTTTTTGTATGGTTTAACTCTACACTACCAATAATAGCAAAATTGAGATTAATTTGTAGACCCACTTTGTACCAACAGCAGGAAGGAGTCAGGCAAAGGATGGATTTCGCACAGAAATCACTTGCTTTATTTCTCTCCCTTCCCACTTTGCTGAGTGGAGAGATTGAAGAGGAAGGGATTTCAAGAGAGTAGTGTAAGTTATTTGCGTAGAAAAGGAAAAGGCTTCCGGAGCCCGGATCGGGCCGCTGGGGTGTGTGTGCAAAATCACTCTGTGGCCATGGATCCGGGCTCCGGAGGCTTGGAAAAGGCCACCGAAGCCCGGATCGGCTGTGGAGGGAGGGCACAAAATTGCTCTGCAGCCATAGATCCAGGCGGCAGAGGCCTTTTCCAGGCCTCTGGAGCCTGGATCGGGCTGCTGGGAGTCCGCAAAATCGCTCTGCAGCCACACCTGTACTCCTGCTGGCAGCTTAGAAGGAACCGGTTCTTCCATTCAAAAAAAGGTGCCGGAACGCCTTTCTGTGAGTTCTATGATAAAAAAAAAAAGCCATGGTTAGAGTGCTATAAGTTCAGGAGTCTTAGACTTTGATTATTCAGTCTGACAATAAGTATGATGTGGCCTTTTCCACCTGATACTTCTTCTTTAATGATTTACTTAGAAAATCTGTCAGATAACATAGCAACAACCTTTGCACGTTTTTTACCACTTACATAATTCTCCCACCATCCCTTGGCTTTCTGTAAAAGCACATTGTTTTTTAGGAGAACATGAGTCTCCTGCAAAAAAGCAATTGTAGTTCCCAACATTTTTAAATTTAGCCAACATCTGTTTATGCTGGTCTGAAAAAAAAACCACTTAACTTTGCATGTTGCAAAGGAGATTAGTCAGTGAATAATAGGTGAACAAGAAAAGAAACAATACGATATGTATTCACACCTGGACGATAAGGAATCCTAAGCAGCAGCAATTATTAAAATCAAAACAATATATTATATCTTTGCATTACTTTGTAATCTTCAAATTTCTTAATTCCTTAGCCAGTTTTTCAGTGTAAGCAAGAGAAATGCTAGCATTTTGTGTGCACCATTGTTCCAGCAACATCTGCCGAGATACGTAACAGCTTCCTTTGTTCTAAATGAAATACATAGTGTGATATATTGCCACACTAAAATTGTTTATTCACTAGCTTTAATCACTGAAATAGTAACTTTTAGTTTTTAAAAACAGGCAATGATTATATGCATTTGAGGATGGTTTTTAAAAAGGACCTAACTAAACTTTAACCTTGTCCTAAATAGCTATTCTTGTGTCATTGTTATTATTATTCTTTTTCATTGCTTTTTATTTTATGATTTATTTAATTTGTATTTTGCATTCCTAGATTGCCTATCTTCCGCTATGTTTGCCACCCAGAATCATTTTGCTTGATGGGCAATTATATAATCTCCAATACTAATTATAGGTGATGGTAGCTAGTCTGAGTTAAAAATCAGATTTTAATCAGCTGCAAAGAAAATGAAACGGAGCAGAATATTATAGTTTAAGAGCAAAACAAGAAGAATCTTGAAAGTCCTTTATGATTAGTATATTTATCAAAACAGAATCTTCAGTGGGTGCCGCAATAACATTAATAAATAATATGTTCAAATAAATAACAAGTTCATACAGACACTCGCCTATGACATATTCAAGTAAGGTACATGTTATATATATGTTAAGTTTTAGCAGCTTATTTGATAAACTGCAGGATCAATATCTCACAATTTCATAAACAGTTCTGTTGTAGAAAATGAGAAAATATTATATCTGTTTCTTTGATTCTCCTATCTTGTATATAAACTTTTATCCACGTCCTCAGGGTTGGAGTGGCCTGTGTCTCAATACGTATATATAAGGGAAGCACCACCGAAATGGTCATTAAAGAAGTTCTTCCACTACTTGGATACCAGGTAGGCAGTAATATAAAACTAGTTGGTTCTTCCAGGGTCTGATGAGTTAAATTTGTTTTACTTGATTTGTAATCCTACTGTGATCCCAAACAAGAGGCACAAGAAAATAGCTAGGGAATTTCGTTGCTGGTCCGTTAGAGCAGTTGTCCTCAACCTTTCTGGATTGGCGAACCAGTGTGTGGGCGGGGAGACACAATGGTTCTCTGTGAGTGGCAGGTGTGCACACATGCTCCATTTACATGAGGAGCAGGCATGCCGCCCACCGTTTCTGCGGCCCGATTCCAAATGAGCTGCAGCCTAGTACCGGGCCACAAACTGGTGATTGGGGACCCCTGCATTAGAGTTTTGATATACATCTTCTGTTTCTCCACATCCTACAAAATCTGAGGAACTAGATATTTAAATAGCTTTTTTTCTGACTGGCTGCTATGTTGACCTTACTTGATAGAAGAATGATGGGAAAGGGAAGCAGAATAGGGAAGGTCAGGATAATCACTCTCTCAAGTTATATTTTACACATTTCCTAGGACTCCCCAGAAAGCAGATGGAGGGGCTTAGGTCTGTACATTCAATCTGTCAGGATTAAAATTTATATTACGATCTTGTTAAAGGGAGTGAAGGTTACAGAGAGTGGGTCTTCTTCTGCCTAAGATACAAAACAATTTGGATTAAGTTTTTCCTACTTGATATGAGGCATGAGAAATCAGAATAAGATCCATTAGGATCCAGTTTTGGTATTTTTATAAATACTAAGTGTAATTCACATTCCTTTCTTCAGTGAATGGTGCATCTATGAGAGTTTGTCTACTGAAAACAGGCAATTCCCACATTTTTCTTTAATGGACTGGATCATGTTCTGCTTAAAGGACCCAAAATAGTTTAAACTAATGGTTAAGGCTAAGCCTGAAAGAGAACGATCCTTATCCTCTTTTCTTTTTTGTGGCTTTTTGATTTGTTTCTACGGCTTTTTGATTTGTTTCTGCATTGATTCTTGCCAAAATTAATAATCCATTGTTATTTAGCCACAGGCGAAAATGCTATTGAAGTTCTACACCTGTCTTGTTAAAGCCACAGGGACATCTGGGGCAAAACATGCTCCACTTTAGATTATTGGTGACTGAGTCCCACTCATTGTATACAGTAAATTAATATTTAATACTTTGGCACTTAATTATGCGGTGTTCAAGAAAATTTGTCTTTCAATGTCTAATAAAAGTCCACAATTTGGTGTTATTTTTCAAGGTGCAATGCAAAATGTACTATCTTTTCATATAGTAAGAAAATTGTGATGCTAAAGGGAGGACAGCTTTGGTCTTATTTCTATTTATGAATACATTTTAATTTTCTTTTTAAATCATGAAAACAGTTTTAAATCCTATAGTTTACTAGACATTTATTTTAACATATCTCTCTTTTGGCAGTCAGATTACTTCCAAAACTTCAAATTGGTGGAAGTCCTTATGGGCTCCAGACAAGGTGAGATACTGGTCATATTTATGGTTCCACTGTATTATGTAAATGTAATTTAACTTCAGTTTAAAGACCTGGATATCTGATTTTCTTTCTTTTTTTTTTAAATTGCAAGTTCCTTTTCTTCTAAGAAATTTCAATACTGGCAATTTTGACAGTTTTAATTAACAGCATGATAGCTTTCAATTAAAAAACAATCAATGAATATTTTTTAAAAATTCTCCTTAGTTCAGCGAATGGTGCTGGATGATCATGAATCAATTATCAGCAGATTACAAGACATCAGAAAGGTAAACAAGGAAACTATACAAACTCTTATGAATATTTCTAAAAAGTCATGGCACAAAGATATTTAGGCAAAATGACTGGATTCACATATGAGAAAATCCCACATAGTTGCTGACATTTCTACTTAATAATTTATCCACGTGGCTTTTCTAGCGAGGTGCTGTCACTTAACCAATCAAAAAAACTCCAGAAGAAACAAAATTCAGTATTTCACCAGTGCTGGAAGTCTGGGTTTGTTCCTCCTTTTAAAAAGCCAGTGGTTGGCAGAAAAAAAATACCTAGTAGCTCCAAATCCTGGTTTATTTGTGGAAGGAGGCAAAAGTCCTTCTTCAGAAGTAATGCCAAGCTCTTGCTTCTGGTGGTTGTGCTGGTTGCATGTCACTTATAAAATGCATTTCTGGTTTACTGTGGCCACAGCTATTGTGACCATAAGTAAATAGTTTGCTATTTTCTTCATTGTGTATTCTTGGCATAGAATTTTAAATTCCATGGTATTATTCTAAAATTATTTGGGTGCCTGTTCATACTAATGGCACTCTAATTATTTGTAGTTTTCGAACTTGTAGGACAGACTGAAAATGAACAAATAAATCCAAAACAAACTTCTCTGCTGGAGAACGATCCTTATGGTAGACAGGCTTCATGGTCTGGAAATAGCGTTTTGGCAAGATGGTTATAAAAGTCTTGACCTTCTCTCTGTATGAAATGTGTTTTAAGGTGATGAAATTTATTTATTTTTCTTACACAGACATCATTACGGCAGATGAATCAAACAAGATTTTACATTGTAGAAAACAATATATCGACTGTGCGTGTCCATCTGTTTGTTGGTGGTCTACCACTACATCTTACTCCAGAGGAATATACAAAAATCCTCAAAGATGAATTAGCCATCAAAAGTACGTCAGATAACCCCCTTCCCCCATGTCTTTTTTAATCTACATGAAATGAAAAGTGCTTTCATGTTTTGAAATGTGTTCAGATGTCATCTGTCTTTGGAATTACTTTTCATGTTTTATATACATGCTGCAACTTGTAGAAAATGTTTTAACCAAAGACTCTTAATTTAATCAGAGGCAACCACACGTATGCCCCTGACACTTATTTTTAGTATTAATAAATTGTTCTACCCTTTCGTTTTTCCTCGGATTGAATGACAGCCACTGACTTTCCATTTTTGTGTATATGATTTTACATGAAAGTATTATTAGGTGTAAATGTATTACATTTATAAGTCATTTTTAGTTTTGGGGGGAAATTGTAGAAAATAATAAGGAATACGGATTTGGTGTTAAAGTAATATCCCCTTAAGAAGAGTAGGTGCGAAGACTGATTTTTTTTTAAATTAGCTAAATTAGAATTGGCTATTTTGGATAATGAAGGAGAAGTGGAAATTTATGAGTTGAGTTCATTGCTGGGTGAAAATATATTGGATTCTCTCCTTTGTTAGACACCAACCTGACATGTTATGCAATTGTTCTGTCCTCTTTCTCCATCACATTTCTGAAAATGAATGTGGGTTTTATATATCTATCTGTTGGGTCCTCAGAAGCTCAGTTGCACAGATGAAAATTGTGCCCATGGTTTATGGAATGTTGCCCATCCAATCCTTGCTGACAGCAACTTAAATTAATAGTTAGCTTATGTGTGATTTGTGTTTGTTTAACTAACATTCCCATCAGTACTATTTGGAATTAGCTTTGTTTTATCACGAACCAGTTGATCCTATTTACTATCCTGAAGCCTTAGCTTAAAATCCATGGACAGTTTGTGTTTAAATTTCACTCATTCAAATAAACAAAATTGGCCTTTTAAAATATGTCTAAAATGAGACAGCATTAACTTATTAGCTATACACTTTTCTTTCAGTTAGAAAAAAAAGTTTTTAAAAGGGATACTTGGGCAATGATTTTTTTTTATTATTATTATTTCAGCAAATTTAGTTTCTGTGAGTCACATATATTCATCTCAAGGTAAGAATATAATGTTTTAATTCAAATTTGGCAGCTGAATTGTTGGATGTTCTGTGTCGCTTTGGTTCATGCATGGTGTATGAGAGTTACTTTACTAGCTCTTCCCCTTCCCCCTAATGCTCTTTGCATGTAGAAGCACGAGTTCTTCCCTAATTGTACTAAAATGTATTGATATTTCATCTCTTAGAGAACATTATACAAAATATCTAGTCTAGATGGTACCATAGAAAGAGGTGTTGTTTTCCCGAAATAAACCCAGTCCCCAGTGATCCTAATACTCAATGAAGTTTTAGATTTGAATGATTGAGCTTAATAGCATATGAATACTGTATTGGGACAAATATGGTAACTCATTGTATTATACATAAGAAGTATGGGCACGTCATATTAAATATATCCTTCATTTATTATAGGTGCTGTTATACTAGAAATTACTTGTTTTTCCGAAGCTGAAAGATTATATATGTTAGTTAAAGATACTTCCGTCAATGACAAGGCATTAACTGCAGTTATACTCCCAGAAGTTCTGGTAAGATCCATTGGCTGTCTGTAGTAACATAAGACATTAATGTATGACCAAATTATACAATTCATGTTTATTTAGCCTATTTTCCTCTGATGTTTATTTTTATTTTGTTTTGTTTGTAAGACACCTATATTGCTTCAAGCTAGTGGCTTTCAGTGCATTGAGTTTTATATAAATATTATAGAGTTTCTGTATAACATACTTGGCACCAATAGGAATTAATCTCTGAAGGCCTTCAGAGAAACAGTTAGGCCTCTGCAAGCCTTTGGAAAGCCATGAGTAGGCTACTTGTACAGGGAGTCCTCGACTTACGACCCCAATTGAGCCTAAAATTTATGTTGCTAAGTGAGACATTTGTTAAGTGACTTTTGTCTCATTTTATGATCGTTCTTGCCATAGTTGTTAAGTGAATCACTGCAGTTAAATTAGCAACACGGTTGTTAAGTGAATCTGGCTTCCCTATTGACTTTGCTTGTCAAATGGTCGCAAAAGATGATCACATGGCCCCAGGACACCGCAACAGTCATCAATATGAGCCAGGTGTCAAATGCCTGAATTTTGATCACATGACCATGGGGATGCTGTAATGGTTATAAGTGTTAAAAATGGTCATAAGTCACTTTTGTCAGGGCCATTGTAACTTTGAACTGTTGTAAGTCGAGGACTACCTGTATTTCGGGGGAGGGGAAACTGTTTCAAAAATGGGGAGCTGCCATAGACAATGTCCATTTCCATGACCCTATTGATCACACTGCACGCTAGATGAGGACCTTCAGCAGGCATTCCCTGTTTGATCATAATGGTTAGACAGACTCAAGATTTCATGTATACCCAAGTCCCGAGCCACATAGAGCTTTTTAATTAATGATCTGCACCTTAAATGCACTTAGAAACATATGGACAGCTGTAACTGTAGCTCCTATAGTTAAGTAGCAGTAATGAGATTGCCCATAACAACATGGAGCGACACAGCTTGCACTAATTGAAATTTCTGTGTCATTTTCTATGATAGTCACATATAAAAGGAATTGCATTGATCTAGGAGTGAGATGCCTACAGAATGAAAGATGCTCTTCAGCTCCAGGCAAGGGTACAGCTGGACAAAGAACCTCCTGATCAGGACTTCCACTTGTTCTTCCATCAGGAACCATGAGTCCAGAAGGAATCCCAAGATCAGGGGAACATTACCTGTTCAGAGCAAAAATTGTTACTAATCTGGAAACATTTAACTACTTAATGAACTGTCACTCCATTTGTCTATGTTATTTCCTATCCAGATCCTGGAAGACCCAGGTACTGGCTTAAACTTCCACCATGTCCCCCATTTGAAGGAGAATGGAGATAGATATTGATGATATTTTATCCCATACTGGTGGATGACCTCCTCTACTGCAATAATTGTAAAATGAATAAGAGAATAAAAGAATAACAGAATTGGCGGTAACCTCAGAGATCCTACCTAGTCCAACCCTTCCTCAAACAGGAGACTCTATACCGTCAGAGACAAATGGTTGTCCAATCTCTTCTTAACAACCTCTAGTGATGGAGCATTCACAACTTCTGGACGCAGGTTGTTCCACTGATTAATTGTTCTAACTGTCAGGAAATTTCTCCTTAGTTCTAGGTTGGTTCTCTCCTTGATTAGTTTCCATCTTTTGCTTCTTGTCCTGCCTTCAGGTGCTTTGGAGAATAGGTTGACCCCTCAAATATTGGAACATTGCTATCATGTCACCTCTAGTCCTTCTTTTCATTAAACTAGACATACCCAATTCCTGCAACTGTTCTTCATATGTTTTAACCTCCAGTCCTCTAATCATCTTTGTTGCTCTTCTCTGCACTCTTTCTAGAATATCAACATCTTTTTTATATAATGGCAACCAAAACTGGATGCAATATTTCAAGTGTGGTCTTACTAAAGCGGTATAAAGTGGCACTAAAACTTCACATGTTAGTTAAATTAAATACTTAGAATAAGTTAGTTAAATACTTAGAAGAGAAACATATTAATTAGTTGGTATCAAGGAAATAATCCATTGCATGTTATTGATTGAATATTTTACATAATTGAGTTGTTCCTTAAAATCCAACTGGACTGACATTCTTTAAATAATGAATGTTCAAACATTTGCCCAGTATAAATAGTATTAATTAAATATGTGCTCTCTGGCATAGAGGTGATACAAATATATTCTAATAATCAGAGCAAAGTTTTCTTAGTGAAATGAAAGTGTTCTCATTTTTATAGCAATTTAACTTGTTAAATTAAATTCAGCACTATTTTGCTATTCCACTCTGATCGCACAGAGAATGTGAAGAATTAACAAATAGAGGCATGGAAGAATTTACTGTCAATTAGGAAATGTGTTGTTATAAACAAAGAACAGTTGTGTTTGATTTGGGCATTTAAAATAATAAGCTATTTTGGTTCAATCTAAAAGAAAAACAGTTTTGCCATTTAAAAGCTTGAAGGACAGTTCCAGTGTGCTTTAAATAAGAACATTAGCTATTTTTGGAGAGCATAACAGGGAGTTAATTTAGCTTTGCAAATAACTCTGTATATTGTTGAATGTTGTCAGTATTGAATTGGCAATTGATCAGACAGGCTGAAATCTCTTGAAAATGTAAAAATGAATGGTGGTTACATTTTCTTTTATATGATAGCAGCATGGGGTCTTATTTCCTGGGATGTGCATCTTATGACGTTTAGGAATGCTTTAAAGTTTCTTTTATAAGTTAGACCAATCACATGGGTTCTTATCTGACTGAATTTCCCCCCAGCCATTCCTTGATTTGTACTTGGGGTACATACTGACGTTCACAAGCATTTATGAGATTACATCTGGGGACAATAACTCCTAACCTGCTGTAGTTACTGCTATAGCTTGTTTACTGGGTCTAAGTGAATCCTTTGTTTCTTATGATTTGCAAGAGATCTGAATTCAAGATAGGAATTTTAAGAATTGCATGTTAAACAACAGGTGCAGATGCAAAGATCAATCTTATAGTAAACACTTTGAAAAATCTCCACCTTAATTGAAATGGTTCAATAGGATTATTCAAACAATTAAAGTCTTGTTTTACAAGGTTTCCTGTACATATCAATCAGATTTCAAAAAGTTTGCTTTTATTTCCAAATTAAAAGAGGTAGGCCGAGGTTTATTTCTGCTCAAGAGAACACATGGTGCATAATGCTTTTCCTAGGAGAGCATCCTGATTTTTGCAGGCAGAAAAGAGTTGGAAAAAATTGCAGTCATACATTGCACAAAAGTTTATTTATTGCTTATTTTCTACATGCTGCTCTTAATGATTAATTCTCCTTAAGAAATTAAGTCAAAGGAAGAGAGAGATGCAGAATTGAATAGAGAGGGGAATTTCTTTCACTGATCTTGGTGTGTGTGTGTGTTTGTGTGTAGAAAAAGCAAGGTGAACATGAACTGGTTCAGACCCAACCTGATTAATAATTTAAACAATGCCCTTTGTTCTCAGATCAGTTGCAAGAAATTCAGAAATGTTTAGTTCTACTTTAGATTAATGAAAGCTTGGAAATGGGAAAAAAAAATCCCTGGGATTGATCTGAATGATGGTAGTTGAACAAGACAGCTCTTTGGATTGTGAAGCTGTTTTCTGTAAAGTAGCCATAATTACATTTAATCACAAACTATGTGTAAACCTGTGGTTAATCTAAACTAGAAGCACAAACTTTCAATTTTCTTCCAACTTTGAGAAAGCAACAATGCAGGTTTATTGTGCTTAGGAAACCAGATTTACACACAATTGTTTGAAATCAATCATAGTTTTCTAGTATAAAACATGGAATAAAGTAGATGAAAGGGTAGTCTCGCCAAGTACCCCACAATAAAAATAAGAGAGTTAATCGAGTCCATTTTCATTTATGAAAAAAAATGAAAAGTGAATATTTCTGATTGATATAGTTTGTTGTAAGTCTTCCAGTCCTTTGGGCATTTGTATGTACTACAAAAATAAAATAAGGATAAAATCAGGGTTTGTTGCCAGGGGTTTGCTTACAAAGACTTGTAGGGATTTTGAAAATTAAATTCTAACATGGCTGCCATTAATCTGTATAAAGGTGTGCAGGTGAGGAGTTTTGTGTAATGGAGAAGGTGGCTGGACCCATCTTCCAAATCTCCCCTACTCTGTTACACAGTAAATAGATCTTGATTTTCCTCTGTAGAAACATCTACAGCAGTGGTGGCGAATCTATGGCCTGAGGCAGCACTCAGAGCCCTCTCTGTGGGCACATGCGCCGTTGCCCCAGTCCAAGGCCTTTTATAAAACCTTTATGCTTTAGGCCTCTGCTGCCGTGTGCAAAAGAAAAAAAGGTTCAATCAATGTCAATTTCAACTTCTTGCGGGGAAAAAAAAGATCTTGCAAAGTTGGAATTGATTGACTGAACTTTTTAGTCCCACCCATCTGCCGTTACCATCGTAGCCATGCCCCCAATGGGCCACACCCCCCCAATGGGCCACATCCAGCCAATGGGCCACACCCACCCGGCACCCGATGATGCATAAGTGGGTTTTAGGTTGCAGTTTGGGCATTCGGCCTCTAAAAGGTTTACCATTGTGCCTGGCTGAGGAATTCTGGGAGTTGAAGCCCACAAGTCATAAAAGGGCCAAGTTTGAAGACCCCTGGTATAGTGCAACCATAATCTCTCTACCCAGTGCCTCCCCAGTGGTGGGGAAGCAAGACACTAAACTACCCAGCAGAACAGAAGGAAAACAACAGCTTGGCAAGGAACAGATTTAAGACTCACAGAAACAGTTTTCATTTGCTAGGAGCAATTTAAGCATCTGGCTTCACATACTGTGACTTTGTGAATCCAGTTATTTACAACCCTTGCTTGTTTAACTGTGTTGATTTGGCATCATAAATCTTCAGCTTGGCTTTGGATTCAGCTTCACCTGGAATTCACCTTTGTCCATCTAGGTGCTTATCTGTGGTTATTTGCTCTTTCTTTCTTTCTTTCTTTTTCTTTTTCTTTTTTTTGCCTTTTACTCCGCCAACTCCTGCTGCCTTGCTGTCAGAATTTTCAGGCTACTCGTCCCTTTTAATAGGGAAGTCCAGGGATTGTGTCTTGTCCTGAAAGATTGCTAAGAAAGCCAGGATGTGAAGGCCCCTCATACATGTTGAGATCACTGAGAACATAGTCATTTATTGATTGCTTTGTCTTTGGGTAATACATTACCCCAATATACCTCAATTCCATGTCTTCATATCATATCCCTTCATTACACTCTTCTTGCATGATCTTGAGCCCTGCATTACCCATCACTCAAAGATCTCCTTCTCTGTTGTTAAAGATGAGGCCAATGTCCTCACATTTTCTCTTGCCCCTCCCCAAATCTCCCAGCAGTCATGATCCAGGGTTTCACAACATTCATCTGTTTGGAATGTTCACCTGGATCTGTTAAAGGATGACAATTATGCCTCCAAAGCCTCTCGTGCTCTTGTATTTCTCCATCTATTTCATCACAGGATACTTAGGTCTGTTACAGATTGCAAGATTGGCTGATGTAAGACACCATCCTTTCTCTACTCGTCATTCCCATGTTTCCAATCTTGGAGTCAACTACGTTTACCACACCATTGGCCCTCTTTGAATCCACCGGCGACCCCACAGTTCAACTCTGAGCTACAAATATTTTTTTCTATTGGTACAATGAAGAAAGGGTTACTTGTCTGAAACTGAAGCTCTTAGGAGTTGTAATCTATGTCTTCATATATCTTTCCCTGCTTGGTGCTGGCGACTTCAGGATTTCACACAGGATTTGCTATGTTGGTATCAGGTAGAATTAAGGGGATTTAGCATGAAACGCAGCTAGCTACTCATTGTATGTATGTATGGAGGACAAGACTCCAAGCAAAGCATGCCATACACCAGTGGTGGCGAACCTATGGCACGGGTGCCACAGGTGGCACTCAGAGCCCTCTCTGTGGGCACACGCACCGTCGCCACAGTCCTAGGCCTTCAGCTGGGTTTTATAAAACCTTTTCGCTTTAGGCCTCTGCCACCATGTGCAAAAAAAAAAAAAGGTTCAATCAATCAGTCAATTTCAACTTCTTGCGGGGAAAAAAAGATCTTGCAAAGTTGGAATTGATTGATTGAACTTTTTAGTCCAACCCAGTCTGCTGTTACCACCGCAGCCACGCCCACTGAATGGGCCACCCACCCAATGGGCCACACCCACCCGGCACCCAACGATGCATAAGTGAGTTTTGGGTTGCAGTTTGGGCATTCAGTCTCTAAAAGATTCGCCATCACTGCCATACACTATAGCAGATTCTGAATGGGCTTTGTACAAGTGGAAAGCCCTTTGGTGAATTCACCAAAGACTACTCAACTTCATTGTAGGTAAGTAATTGGTTTGTGTGGTTGGCTGTTAAAGTAGAATAAAATGTAATGAGCACTGATGGTCTGTTTCTGAAAGTACCTCCACCTAAAGGCTGGGGTATTGAATTGATAGGAAGTTAAGAAATAGAAGCCACTCTACATCATAGTTTATCTTTTCATTTGGAAGCTCAGGCCAGTGATTAGTATAAATCATGGTGTCAGAAAGAAACCTCTACTAGAGCCAGATGTAATTAGAGTCCAGGAGGAAAAGAATGATTTGGGTTGACAATATTAATCCGTTCATTCTCTCTAAAATAAACTGCTTGTCACTGCTGTTTTCCATTTTGCCTAACCCAATGAAAGATAGTCTTTAGGGATAAAGGCAAACTGTTCCTGTATTTAAGCAGCTGCCTAGGACAATCAATGCCTTACCTTTGATTCAAATTGCAAAATAAGCTTTGCTCACTTTGGAGTAAATGTGGCAGAGATGGTTCAAGATATATTTGTTTGTTGTTGCTTAGTTTGATTTATATGGATGTCCAGCTTACAAAAGCAACTCTGAGCAGCCTATATTTGGAGAGAAACCTGAAAAACAAAGGAACTAAAAACAAAGCACAACCAATGCCTGGATCTGAAAAGAGAATAACAAAATAAAAGCTAGCAGAATAATTGAGACCAGCCATAGCTTTCATTCTGGATGGGTTCATCTCACAGTCTGGCCCAGTTTCCAGGGGAAGAGCCATATTTTCAAGGCTTTATGGTGAGCTAGTAGAATCAGACCGTTTGAACTGCAGGAAAAAATATTCCAAAAGCAGGTGCTAGGACAGAGAAAACATCACCAGGTCCCACCCAGATGTCTTTGTTTCTACCAAATCTCATAGAGTAAACAGAGACAATTGGAGATGAGCAATCCTACAAATAATCTGGCCTTAGGTCATGGGCTTTTATGCATGGTAACCAGCAACTTGAATTACATCCATGAGCCTACACAGTTCACACACTTTTGTTTTTGTTCAGTTACTAAGTCATGTCCAATTCTTCGCGACCCTGTGCATCATAGCACACCAGGCCATCATGTCCTCCACCGTCTCCTGGACGGTGCCCAAATTCATGTTCATTGTGTAAATGACACTATGTAACCATCTCCTCCTTTTGCCTTCAAGGTCTATTGCAATAAGTCCTCTCATTAGGTGGCCAAAGTATTTGAGCTTCGGCTTCAGTTTCTGTCCTTTCAAAAAACAGTCAGGGTTGATTTCCTTTAGAATTGACTGATTTGATATCCTTACAGTCCAAGGGATTCTCAAGAGTCTTCTTTAACACCACAATCTGAAAGCATCAGTTCTTAGGTGCTCAGCCTTCCTTAAAACCATATACTACTACTAGGAAAACCATGGCTCTCAAAAGAGTGGTGTTACATGAGTGCACTGAGTTGTGTCCAACAACTACTTGTGTTGCTGCATTCTAGGCCAATGACAGCTTTTGGGTATCTTTCAAAGGTAGCCCAGTGTATAGCACATTGCAGTAGGAGGTAACCAGAGCACAAATTATTGTGAACAGAGCCTACCAATCTAAGAAAGGACACAGCTGGTACACATGTGCGCAGAGGCGTTCATAGACATGGCTGCCATCTGCTTCTCCAGATGTTTTATTTTTGATTACTCAGCCCCAGCATATCAAGGTTACCAAAGGACTTAGCAATAGCTATCCCTTGTAGAAGTCAGTTGATACCCCATTTTTATAACTAGATAAACTAAGATAGATAGATAAATAGATAGATAGATAGAGAGAGAGAGAGAGAGAGAGAGAGAGAGAGAGAGAGAGAGAGATGGATGGATGGATGGATGGAGGGGGAGAGGATAGACAGATAGATTGATGATGATGGCTTGGCATACCAGGCAATTTTAAGTTTTATATGTGTCTATTATTGGTCTGGAATAATTGTGCTTTTCCTTACTGGAAATTAGGTGCAAACAGTAAAAACAAAACTTTCTTTGGAAATCAATAACATATATCTTTGTGCCTTTTAAATTCATGACCAACACCTCCCCAAAATCATGTGAAAAAAGTTCTTAATAAGTACTCTTAGATTGTTAGGAATATTGGGTTTCCTTTTTTTTTATTGTCTTAAGCATCATCGTGTAATTTGGAACTTTACCTTGTTGGTTCTAAATGTTATATTTTTAATCACTTCTCCTTTCATTTTTTTTTTGTTTGTTTAGCAAAATAAGCTTCCTCAGAACTGCTGTCCTTTACTTGTATTTGTGAATGCCAAAAGTGGAAGTCTTAAAGGTCGGGATTTGTTGTACAGTTTTCGAAAACTGTTGAACCCTCATCAGATCTTTGAACTAACAAATGGAGGTCCGCTGCCTGGGTAACATATTGTTTCTGTTCATTACATCTTGGCTATTTCATGTGTTACTTGTCTCGAGCGATATTTTTTTCCCCTTGCTCTTGGTTTTCTTTGCTCTTGGTTTTGCAAAGCTGCTGAAGCCCTGAGCAATGGCCAAATGGAAATTGCTCAGTGAGTGACATTTTTAGTCTGCCCGCACCCCCTTGGAGAAGGAATTGGAAGATAACATTTCCTCATCTTAACTCCTTTTGTATCTTAACCTTTTGTGTTAACATTTGGCACTGCATAATGGCTCAGGAGTTTGAAAATCTGTAACCTTGGTTAATTAGGTGATCTTGTATCATTTCAATATGGATGAGAAGATGATATTGCCAAGGAACGTCTAAGATTTTGTAGCTGCTGGGATTTCCTAATTCTCTCTTTGACCAGAAGATTCTGGTGCTTTATCATCTGTTTATTTTGGAAGGTTACTTGAATTAGAGTGCAAAGCTGCTGTTTGGAAAATGCAGATCCGAAGCTTTGGGCTAACGATCCACAAAGACTTTGGAAGCCAGCCACCTCTTTCAAAAGCTTTTAGTGCTGTAATTAGGAAGCATCACAGTGTGAATAGCAATGTGGCTGAGCTCGGACAATATTCATGCCAAAAGGTTCAATAAAAGAAGGAAGAGATGTTTAACCCTCCTGTCAAATAATACATTTTTGCACTCTTTTCAATAGGCTTTAAAGTCACTTATTAAAACTGTAGGAGTGGGTTGAATAAATGCCGTTTCTATTTTTGCATTTCGGATTTGGCAGCGGTTATTCCAAAGAAAAGAAGCTAATTTGTCAAAGAGACGATGATGCAAAGAATGAAAAAGAGAGAAAGCTGAAAACTCTAGGCACTTACCCTTTATTGGAAAACACTGAACATTCATTACATGACTTTTTTTCCTACTTACATACTTAAAGCATTAACTCTTGAAAATGAAGCATTGCATTTTTTTTCTACTTGAGCTGTATGAAATACACGTACAAGTTCTACAAGCTTTTTTTTAAATAAGTAGAAACACAGAATTAATTTTAGATTGGTTTGAGTACTTTTTTCCCCCAATTTTGTATTATCTACTGGCGGTGAGGGTTTTTTTTTCCTACTAGCCAGCAAACTATTTTGCTTTGTTCCTTGTTATCACATGCAAATCTGTCATCGTTTCATTTTGAATGCATATTACATAGCTGGAAAGTGATAGTATAAAAAGTTAGTGGGCACAGTTCTGTTTTGCTCAAGGTTTAACAGGTTTTTAGAAGAAAGCTAAATAGAATTTCGGATGACAAAGCATTATATGAAAATTAAAAGGTTATATTCCATTTATCTTCAGCAAGAGAATAACATTAATTTTCTGTCTTTACCATGATCAAATGCTTTCATTGTACAAGCAATGCACTTGAGTTTCAAAGGCCAGATAAGCTTATCTGTGTTACCCAGGAGTGAGTTTCTGAGTAGTCTAGCCCCATTGTTTTAGGCTGGCAAGATATTTAAATCAAATAACCATTCTTGAACTCTGAAGAACTCTTTAGCATCTTTTAATGCTCCCCTAATAGCTGTTTTTGAGGGCAAATGTAATCTGAAAAATCTAAGATTGAGAAGGACTTTTTGGCCTTATAGCTCATGCCTTACATTGGGTTGATAAAGTTACAAAGGCCCATTCTATTATTTCATATTTATTTATTTTTTAATTAAATTTAAATATGACCCATCTCGCCTAGGTGGCTTGCAACTAAGTGAAACAACGAAATAAAGCACTAAATATTAAAATAATAAATATTAATGTTAAAATGTACTTAACAAAGACGATAGGAAGGGAGCAGGATGCATGTGGGATGAAAGTGAAGTCTTATTTGAAAAAGAAGGTTATGTCAGTCCATTTTTTTGTTTATTTTTTCTGATTTTGGTTCTCTTATGTTAGAATATGAAAAATCATGTTTAACACAACCAGATCTTCTAGAATGAAGAGGTAGTATGAGTTATCTTCATACTGTGGTCAGTATCTCAAAAGCACTCAGACCAGATCCAGAAGTTTACTTTTGTGCATTTCCCAGGAGTCTGACCCCAATGAGATGTCTCAATTCTTTCTGTTGTCCTTCAAATTGCTTTTGGAGCTGGAAGGGTTGTTGCTGGATTAAATGAAGTCCAACCTCTCCTTGCCGACATAAAATTCATCTGGTTCTTGGGATACCTACTTCGGTCTATTTAAAAAAAAGATGATAACGTGAGCCTATTTCTGTTTTTAGTTGGCTGGGTAGGTTTAAAGAAAACTGTATACATGCTTCAATTTGCAGTTGTGCTTATCAATAATATTGTCCTTATTGTTTTTTTATACATTGAAGATTTCATGCCTTCTCTCAAATTCCGTATTTCCGAATATTGGTGTGCGGCGGTGACGGCACAGTTGGATGGGTCCTTGGTGCCCTGGAAGAGATCAGGCACAAGCTCTCCTGCCCTGAACCGTCTGTGGCTATTTTGCCTTTAGGAACAGGTGAGGCTTAAACTGCGGATTTTAGGAAGAAGAAGGGCAGTGATGAGGCTTCCCATAAGTTCATAGATTCTATCGTTCCATAAATTAAATTAGCATTGGTTAACTGTTACGGCAAACTGATGTCGTCAGGCTATTTCCAATGGCAAATTCAGCAGACATCTCATTTTAACTTTGTAAGTGATAATTAAAAATGTATTTGAATCAAAGGCCTTGTAGATGTGGCAGAACCACAACTCCTGGTAGGCCAAACTATTGGTCAGAAGTAGTAGGCCAGGGGTGTCAAACTGCCGGCCTGTGGACCGGTTGCATCATACGGAGGCCGCGCCCACCTCAGCTCCAGCAATGTGAAAAAAGTTATGATACATTGCGACACATCACGTGAAGTGGTGAGTTTGACACCTGTGTAGTAGGCCTACTGAAATTCAGGTTAATGTAAAGTAAAGGCTTTTTATTTTATTTTTTCTTTAGTAGATTTTTTTTTAACGAAAACATGCCCTTTTTGATCAGGTAATGACTTGGGGAGGGTCCTGCGCTGGGGTGCTGGCTATAGTGGCGAAGATCCGTACTCCATTCTGATATCTGTAGATGAAGCAGATGATGTACTTATGGACCGTTGGACCATCCTTTTGGATGCTCAAGAGTCATTGGAAAGCTCAGAAAATGGTATATTGGAGCCAGAACCTCCTAAGGTATTTCTCAATTTTTCCTTCCTGAAAGTACAGCAATAACAACATAAGTAGAAACAAAAAAAAGTGCTGAACATCCAAAATTTGTTTCTATATAGAATGATCTAATAATTCAAAACGAATTCTTGTATTGTAGTGTCCTTCTCAGATGCCTGCTATTTATTAAGTAGATTTGGGGACTATAATTTATAGTCTTCTCTCCATTTCCCCTTCAGTTTCTCTTCTACTTATCTCTTCTTTTCACCATAATTAGTCACTTTCTCACTCCCTATTCCTCTTTCTGATGAATAAGCAGCTCATGATGAAACTTCCTAACGCAATGTTGACAGACATTATGCACAGAGGATAAGTCCATATTAAATGTATATATAATTAATATTCTGATTACTTGTGAGCAATGTGATTTTATTTTGAAAGGCATATAAATTGCTATGGTGCTTTGTTACCTATTTTTCCTAATTAGAGTACTGCAAAGCTATAAAATATAGTGATTAGAATACATGCTTGATAAAGTAATTACCAAATTGCTTGGGTTTCCTTAAAATCCTTGTAAAATGGATCAGAGTTTACTTCTCGTTCCTTTTTATAAACCAATAAAGCAACAGCTTTATTGGTTTATAAAAAACTTTATTGGTTTATTATTAGGTGGCCAACAACTTTGGCCACCTAATGAGAAGGAAGGACTCACTGGAGAAGGGCCTAATGCTGGGAAAGATTGAGGGCAATAGAAGAAGGGGACGACAGAGAATGAGATGGCTGGATGGAGTCACTGAAGCAGTAGGTGTGAACTTAAATGGACTTCAGAAGACCTGGAAGGAACGTTGTCCATGGGGTCGTGATGGGTCGGACACGACTTCGCAATTAACAACAACAAAGCAACAGCTGAGCATACTGTTCTGTTCTAGAATAAGTACAGTAAACTTTACATAATGTAAAATTAAATCACCAGCTTTCTTATGTAGCCTCTTGAAATTCATTGTGTGAAGACTGTGAGAGATTTAATGGGCAATATGTCATAGCTCTTCAAATAATTTTCTAAGGAAGATTATTTGTTTATATATCAAATTTGGAGACCGTCCATCTCACAGCAGACTCTGAGCGGTGTACAATTAAACTATGAAAATATAAAATATATAAATAATATATTCCGGTAGGCAGTTAAAACAAGAATAAAATTAGCAGAGTTAAAAAGGCAGAGGGAGGGCTTTCATGTGAGTCTCAAGTGAGTCAGCAGAGCCAAGTCTGAAAGGCCAGGAGAGTGGAGGGCCCGCCTCATCTCTGGGGGAGAATGTTCCAAAGGCCGGTGACAGAGAAAGTCCTCTTATGTTAACCTGGTTTTCCCAGAAATCACTCAGAGGAGGCTCCCTTCCTGGACTCCAGGAAGATTATGTTAATCTGGTTTCCCCAGAAATCACTCAGAGAAGGTTCTTTTCCTGGATTCCAGAAAGATTATGTTAATCTGATTTTTCCAAAATCACTCAGAAGAATTTTGGTTATAAGCAGAGGTCCAATTCTTCCTTCATCAAATCCAGTGATTTGACTATCTTTTTATTTTGTAGCAAAACCTGCAGGGATATGACAGACTAAAAACAAAACATATGTTTGGCAGTGTAGAAAAAGAAGAAGACAACAGATAAACTGGAGGCTGAGAATTGAGAATATTACCGGATTATCCTTGGAATACTATGACTTCTTATGAAAAACAGATAGATATTTGTCCTGTCAGAGAGACCAGAAATTGAACCTAACTAGATAGGATCTGCTTCATACTGTTGTTCTTTTAAGTTGAAGAGTTTGTAATAGAGATGTTCCTGTGTATTTGTTAGAAATAGTTTGGTTCAAAACGTGAAACTTCATTTCTACTTTTTTTTCCCAGATTGTACAGATGAATAATTATTGTGGCCTTGGAATTGATGCAGAGCTGAGTCTGGGTTTCCATCATGCTAGGGAAGAAGAGCCAGACAAATTCAATAGCAGGTATTTGGAATATTTTGAGAAAAGGAACAACCTCTCCCACTAACTGATAATTATTGAGAACAAGCATTCATATATTTCATCTCACTAATTCAGGTGGTGTTTGATTTACAACTATAATTGAGTCTGGAATTATGGTCATAAGTTGTGCTGGTCATTAAGTGGGTCACCACATGACCACCTGATTTTTACAGCCTTTTTTTTTTGCAATGGTCATTAAGCAAACGTGACACTCATAAAGCAGATGCTGTGGTCATTAAGGGAATTCACTGTCCAAATGAAGCAAACACCAGTTTCTGGCAAAACACATCATAAATTGCAATCATGATTATGGGACTCTGCAAATGGCTGTAAATGCAGTCTGGCTACCAAGTGCCCAGAATGTGATCATGTGAGGCCCATCCACTGGAACAACAAATCTGGGTAATAAATAGCTGGGGAGCTAAGGTGGACATCACTTGAGCTTCTTTTTGGGGTGGGGGAGAAGGAGGCAATGAGGTTGTCACCACAGGAAAAGACCTTCTTATAAAAGCTCACAGATTTTGGGGGGGCGATGGGGCTGAGTAGGTACATATGGGAGAAGACAACTTCTTCAGATGACCTTGTCTTAAACCATGTTGGTCTTTAAAGGTCTTAAGCAGCACTTTGAATTGGACCTGGACCGGGAAGCAGCCTAGATGACAAAGAACTGGAATCATTTGTTCATATTGGCCAATTCCAACACGCAGTCTAGCTGTCTAGACCATTTTTAAAGGCAGCCTCATCTACAACGCAACAGAATATCTGTTACAAGACTATCTCTGCTTAGGGTAATATAGAAATATACATGGTACTTATCATACCATAACTTAAGGATATTATTAAAAATGGATATCATGGCAACTCTAACACTAGTCAGTGGTTAACACCGTATTTCATACGTCCAATGAGAAGATTATGTTTCTGCTTATTTGGTGCCTCAGTTACCCAGCTACATGTCTATCTAGTCCAGGGGTTCTCAACCTTGGCAACTTTAAGACTTGTGGACTTCAACTCCCAGAATTCCTCAGCCAGCTGGCTGAGGAATTCTGGGAGTTGAAGTCCACAAGTCTTAAAGTTGCCAAGGTTGAGAACCCCTGATCTAGTCTATCTTGGCTGATCTTAGACAGCTAAGCAAGGCCAGACCTAGTTATTATTTGGATGGGAGAACATCTGGAAGTTCAGTTCTCTGAGTTAGACTGGAACATTTATATAAAAAAAAAATCTCAGAAGATGGTAATGCAGATTGCTTCCTTATTTTCCATGAAATTTATGAGGTTGTGCTGAGCTCATCTGAGCTTGAAAAAGATTACCATTTTCCCCACTTTTCCCACTTACAGATCCATGAGTAGATATGTGTTTGATCCTATGGCTGCTAGTTTTGCTCAGATGCCCTTAATGAAGGCTGAAAATCTGAAAATCCAAACATATACTATCAGGTCATCTCTATCTGTAGTCTCAGAAAAATGAGACAAGGCTTGCCTCTTCAGAATGTCAGTGGCTCTTCCTCCAGGTTCGCCCCCCCCCCGCTCTCTTTGACAATTTTCTTTTGAATAGTATTTCATGCCAATTTAGATACATGGAGCTAACTGGCTTCCTGTTTGTAGGAATGACAGAAAAATGATGCAAGATACTATCAGTTGTGTTTTTGGAAATAAACCCAGCTATCATATATAAACATATCCATTGCGTTTATTCACATGAAACCTGCCCTCCAGAACTTATGGCCATGTAAGAAAGAGGGAATCTTAACACAGTTCACTGGGTAGCAACTATTACTGTCACGATAGCTCCACCTCTTCTTCCCTCAACCTGATACCTGCCAGAGATTACAATTCCCATCATCCGAAATAATCACGGTGGCTGGGTAATACTCCAAAAGCTATGACGTAGAAGACTTCAGTTATTCTTGATTCTTTTAGTTAAAACTCAAAAACTAAAAAAAAACAAAAACACTTGAGCCTTGTTTTTTCAACAATCCCTGCATATCTACATTCATCACAGTTCCTAAGTAAACATGTAAAGATTAAGCCATTCTTTTTTCACATTGAATTCCATTTCCAATGTATTGCTCGCGTATCACTGTTTTGGTTCTTCAGTTTAGAAATGTATTATGTCTCTCTGAATTGTGATTTATCCATCTAGCAAGGCCTGATTTGATTCCACATTCCAGTGTATGAAATTGGACTTCATATAAGAGCAACGGTATTTGACTATTCTGCTGTGCAATCTAATTGAGACTGAGACTTTGTCATTTTTTTTTTATAATGTGCAGCCTGGTTCCATTTCACGATTGATCTGCTAGAAATTTACTTATCTAAGTGAGGAAAGCAAGACTCCCATAAAATCAGAGAAGGAAACTGTTGTGTCAATCAGCAAAGCACAGATGTACATATCACAGAGCTTATACCATTTTTATAAAAGAAACACAACTTTTATTTCTAGGCTACACAACAAAGGCGTCTATGTAAAAGTTGGACTGCAGAAAATGAGCCATACCAGGAGTCTTCATAAAGAAATCAAACTTCAGGTGGACCAGCATGAAGTTGAACTTCCAAGTATAGAGGGTCTTATTTTCATAAATATTCCCAGGTAAATAACTAGACATCTGGGTTTGGATTTGCTTTTTACCAAACAGTGCTTACGTTAGTGTTTAGAACTGCCTTGTAATAGCTAAAATTGCTTTATTAATAAACAGCTCTTAGGTGCTTTTGTATTAAGACTTTGCTTCACACTCTGAGTTACGTTATTCTACTGTGGATTTAATAAATAATTGTGAGTTGTTAATGGACAGGAACTTCAAGTTCATATGCTTCTTGTTCTTCTGAGGGATGCTTTGGTCCTCTCTGAGTTTGGTTAGACTAGCACTGATGATGTTACCTGGTTTGGGTAATGAAATGTCTGCAAGAAAACCACCAAGCTCGGAGAGCTCCAAGCACCCCTCATTTCAACCCCGAGCTACACATATTCTCCTTTGTTCTTCTTCTGTTGGGACTGCAGGGATGAGGCTAACATTGTGACTGTATATTATCTTGTTTCCCAGTTTAAATATAGTATACTGGAGCTATGGAATTTGGTCTGATGGTTAAGGGACCAGGCTACAAACCAGGAGACTGTGAATTCTGGTCTTCCCTTAGGCGTGAAAGTCGGTTGAGTGACTTTGAGCCAGTCTCTTTCTCTCCCCTCACAGATTGGGAAAAATAGGTGGAGGAAATAGTATTAGGTGGAGTTACTGCCTTGTGTATAAAAATAATAAAGGCAGGATGAAAAAAAAAATCTAACAAGCCAACTTTCTGGTTTATTTGATTTTAGACACGATGCTTAGCTGCTAATTTAAAATAGGAGAAAATATTTTGATCCACATTTGGCATTGCCAAGGAATGACAAGAAGATCTGCAGACTTAAGTGATTGGCTAAGCCAGGGGTAGGCAACCTTGGCTCTTTTATGACTCGTGGATGTCAACTCCCAGAATTCCTGAGCCAGCCATGCTGGCTCAGGAATTCTGGGAGTTGAAGTCCACGAGTCATAAAAGAGCCAAGGTTGCCTACCCCTGCGCTAAGCAGTATTCCTGAAATGGCAAACTATGATATATTGCACTTTTAAGTTAGATGCATATAGTTTGGCCTGCCTGTATATATCGTTGCTATAGCCTACACCCATTTAAAGAGAGCGAGGCAACTATTTCCCAGAGATCCAAAACAGTTTTTAAAATTTTTGAAGCGTGGTGACATGAAACAAATGGACTCTGTTCTAGCTGTTCTACTTATTGTTCCTCCTGCCTTTGTCCATTCAGTTTCACTTCTCACCACATGAAACTGCCTTGTACAGAATCACGCCATTGATCTCATGAGCTTAGTAGTGTTTGTGCCAGCTGCCCAGAGCTTTTCATTGTCTTGTTTGGACATTTTCCTCCTTTGCTGGTTACCCAAAACCCTTTTGTCAGACGATATCAGCAGCAAGATTCTCAGATTTCTAAAGTACAAAAACACTGAGCTAAGAATTCTGACAAAAAAATTTTTTGTAAAAAAACTCAGTCAGATCTATCTTCCTTATAGAGGGAAGAAGGTTTTATAAGAATGATTCCTTTTGTTACCATTAATAGGTCCATTGTTTATAGATACAAAGAAATATTAGAGATATGAATATAAAGTTCACTAAACCAGCATTTGTTCAGCTTAGCTGGATTCAAAGCCAAAATCAGACTTATTATATTATGATGTAGTTACAAACTGTGAACCCAGTCCACACACGGATTATTTGTAAAGGCTTTAAAATGATCCCTGAATATATTAAAGGACAGACAAATAAATAAGAAGAAACTAATTTTTAAAATAACAAGGCAACTGGTTATTTTAGTCTGTTTCTACTTTTTCTCATTTTTAAAGTTTTTTTTAAATATTTCTATATGAAAAATGTATTACCAATCTGTTAATCTGACACGATCCGATAACAGATCTAGTTTATTAATTATACTCACCTCTGAATAAACTCTTGTTTGTTTCTTTTTAAATGTTGGCACATCTTCACGGGTTGACTTGGTACCTCAGGACAGAGGTTTAGTTTTTGGGGCCCAATCTTTAAATATCTGTGGGTTAATGTAGGATTTATGATTGCTTTCGTTTTACCTAAAGCAGTGTTTCTCAACCTTGACAATTTTAAGGCATGTGGACTTCAACTCCCAGAATTCCACAGCCAGCAATGCTGGCTGTGGAATTCTGGAAGTTGAAGTCCACATGCCTTAAAATTGTCAAGGTTGAGAAACACTGACTAAAGGTTTGTCTGCTGCTCTCAAGCGCCCTCTGCAGTTTTTAAAGACAAGAGCAGATACCATATCTAAATGTTAATCCAATAGTCTTCGATTATTAAACGCTTATTATTCTCTCTCAAGTTGCTACAATGCCCCTGTATGATGCCAGTAATTACAGTATCAGTGGGGAAAACTACATGTACTATATGTACTTTTTGTACATTTGTTTTTCTGTTTTAATTTCCTGCAAAATAAATGCTCCAAAGTAAATGTCTTACAGAAATAAAAAGGTATTAGAGGTTTAAATACGATTTGTCACGCAGTCAGTCAGATGTTTAGACTGGATTTGTCATTTTTATTTACTTGATCAAGTCCTTCCCAAGGACCTGGGATAGGCAGATGTTGTTTGATGTTGTTAACGGTTGCCCTCACAGGATGTAAGTTGTTTCAAGTAAAGCTGCCTTTTGCAGTTGACTGATTGTGATTTTGCCAATGCCCGTGGTGTTCAAAGTCATGTTCCAGTTGTTTTATTATTATTATTATTAGTTCATTATTTTTCATCATTCAGAGATATATATGCAAGATGGTCAGCTATAGAACTTTCTAAATAAGTAAATATAGTAAGGTTATATCATTGCTTTGTTTCTAGTTGGGGATCAGGGGCTGACCTTTGGGGGTCTGATAATGACAGTCGGTTTGAGAAACCAAAAATTGATGATGGCTTGTTAGAAGTAGTTGGTGTCACCGGAGTTGTTCACATGGTAAGTCAAATAGTTTTTTTTTTCCATTTGAATCTTTTTATGGGGTGTAATGGATTTATTCTGTTTGACTTGACCTGAAACAATCGCACTTGTAAATTAATTGAGTTTTATATTGAAACACAAGGCTATAGGAATATAATATGGTGCTGACTGCGAGGGTGTTCAATGTGATAGTTTAAATGGAAGCATATTCGGAAATTATAGAACGTAGAATCATAGGGCTGGAAGGGATCTTTCAGGCCTTTTAGTTCAACCCTTTGTTCAAGGAAGGAAACTTTATATCATCCCTATCAAATGGTTTTCCAGTCTATTTTGGAAACCTCCAGCAATGGAGCACCCACATCCTCAGGGGGCAGGCTTTCCATTGATTAATTGTTCTCCAATTTCTCCTTACTTTCAGATTATAATTGGGAGAAATCCCATGTGTGATACATATATAAAAAATGTAAAAGAATCAGTATTTATGAGTTTTACCCAGTGACTGATCTCAAAGGAGACTTGATTTGTTTTTGAAAAGTAGTGTTCCGATTAGTATTTTTCCCCCCAATAGGGTCAAGTTCAAGGTGGCCTTCGTTCTGGCATCCGGATAGCCCAAGGTTCTTACTTCCGTGTAACACTTCGGAAGCCAATTCCTGTCCAAGTAGATGGTGAGCCCTGGATTCAACCACCAGGTCAGATAATTATTTCTGCAGCAGGACCAAAGGTAACTTATATGTTTGGTAGACATTTTATCATTACTGTAGAAAAGCAGAAAAAAATGTAACCGTGTTCAGATCCTGTACATAACAGACTATAGCCAGATGGATCTGGTTGAAATAGAATGTATTTTAGTTGTTAAAAATCCCAACAGCTGTAGCCTTTTTCCTTCAGCCTTCTTGATCTGCTATGATTGGAGGCTTTCTGGGTTAGCTAAGCAGAATTACATCTCAGGAATGTATGTTACCAAGAATAGAATAAACCTGCATGTCAGATGAATGTCTTATCATGTATTGGGGATTTTAGGGAGTAACAGAATGGAAAATAGATTAATCAACTCAGAAAATCATGGTAAGTTGAAGATTACATAGTGGAGACCTACTATATATGATAGTTGATTTATTGCTCAAGGTCATATTCTCACTGTACCATTTCAGGTTGCAGGCTGGAATATACATAGCTAAATCTTCCTCATGTAATATATACGTACATGGAAAACTAAAATGTGAAGTTCCAGCCTAACCTTTTCTCTTTCTTTCCAAATATAGAGTTTTCTTTGAGTACAACATTTTTCAACTTACTATAAGCTCCTTCTAACAACTTTAAGTTAACTATAATAGTTCCAAAAGATATTTGTTACCATAGCCAGAGCTAGTTCTTTCTTCTAGGATTCAGTATAGAGCAGTGATTCTCAATCTGTGGGTCGGGACCCCATTTGGGGTCGAACAACCATTTCACGGGGGTCGCCAAACAATGCAGTCCGCCATTTTTTTCCCCCTTTTCCTTAGCTGTGCTACTCCCTTTTATTCTATTGGCTTTTGAAAGCCAATAGAATAGACTCTCTTGAATAGAGTCTAATTCTATTGGCTTTCAAAAGCCAATAGGAATTGTCCAGGCTGTCTCTGCCCTGCTGAGCCCGCCAAAAGTCCCATTCTGCAAACGGTGCTGCACCAGTTGAGTAGTCCTCGACTTACGACCAGTTGAGTAGTCCTCAACTTACGACCGGTTGGGGGGTCACGGCATTAAAAGGGTTGAGAACCACTGGTATAGAGGATCAAATGAACATCTAAATGTACACCATGTTATTTCTGTATGCATAGTTTGTTGTCAAAAGTTTTCCCTCTACCTACCACTCTCTGTATTGCATCAAATGTATTATATTTAGAACATGTCCAATCGGACAGGATGATTGCTTCCCGTGGACATATCTAGCACATCTACTACAATTCTTGGCTTATTGGGAATGCCAAGTAGGGGAGGCTGGTGTATGTTAGCAACATAAACTAGTTCTTCCCTCTTTCTAAGATTTTTTAACTGTATAATTGTCTGATTTTTAATTGTCAGATATCTTTTGTATGTGTGATCTTTGATTGCAGGTTCATATGTTAAAGAAATCAAAACAGAAACAGAAGAAAACTGGAAACATTAAAGATTCAAGAATTGAGAGCACATTGGCTGACGAAGCAGGGCGCTGACGGGAGATACTCATAGTCCAAATGCTGCACATCTACTGTAGATGATATTTGTCTGGCAAAATACTGTTGCATAGTTCAGGTCATTTATGAGCCTGTCTTCTTGTTCCATGTTCATTGTTCAGTAACCATGTAACTGACATGAAATATGATTATACACATGAGTTGATCAGAGGAGTTTGTATTAGGGAGCCTATTGAAGGATTTAAGCTAGTCCAGAGAAAAATAAATAACTTGGGTGAGAATAGAAAAGAACCAATAATATAATTTGTGAACTAGTTCTTTTTTTCCTGATCTACACAACAAGGAATCCCATTGCCTTCTCCTCTTCACCTGTGCAACCCACAGGTTACTCATACGGTTTTTAATCAATAATTGTTAAACACACAACAGAGCTCTCATTGAATTGGCAAAGAAAAAGTTCAATAGAATGCAGAAGAAGGAGAACTCTCCCCATAATGGTTAGCTGTGCTCTGTTTTGAGTTTTCATCTGTGCACCGCAAACACTTTCACTACACTACCACAAGAAATTTTTTCAGAGAAAAGAAAGCTCCTATAATTTTGTCTCTTTTTTATAGTTTACAGATTTTTTTTTTATAAAACCTACAAGTTTTGGTTTTCTAATGTACCGCATGTGTTTCTTTTCTCTAATTCTGATCTGTAAGTCAATGTTCCTGATTTCATTCTCTAACCTTCTCTTTCTGTCAGCATTCAGACTGTTGCTGAAATATCAAACTCAGAATGGGTACAAAGCACAATGTAGAAAATCAATCTATTTCAACCTTTATTTGATAAATATTAAATGACAATGCAGAAAATGAAATATACATTGGTTTATTTTCAGTTAAAATACTTTTTAACTTTTTAGACACAAATAATGGATTTTGTTCTCTGAATGTGATAATTGTACTGATGGTGCCAAATATCCTACATAGAGAATTCCTTGTGATTAAGAAACTGATCATCTGCCAGTACACAGACATTTTTTACTTGTTTTCATGATTATCATTTTGTGGTGTCTTTTCCCTCTATAACAATCATTCATAGTTTTGGCCATCAACTCCATAGAGGTATCCAGTGGTGGGATTCAGCTGATCCACACTGATTCGGCAGAACCAGTAGCTAAATTTTGCTAAGTTCGGAGAATTGGCTTAATGCACAGTGCTTCCGGAAGTCCAGTCTAGGCCTCGGAGGTCTGGAGGAGGCCTTCCAGGCCTGAACAGCCCACCGGAAGTGCATGGATGCCACTTCCAGAAGTCCGTTCTAGGCCTGCATCCAATAAGAGAACCACTTGTTCAGGTATTTGAATCCCACCACTGGAGGTAGCCCTTGACTTATGACCCTGATTGAGCCCAAAATGCCTGTTGCTAAGTGAGATAGATGTTAAGTGAGTTTTGCCCCATTTTACGACTTTTTTCCCACAGTTAAGTGAATCACTGCAGTTAATAAATTAGTAACACAATTGTTAAATGAATCTGGCGTCCCCGTTGACTTTGCATGTCGGAAGGTCACAAAAAGTGATCACATGACCCTGGAACACTGCAACTGTCATAAATATAAGTCAGTTGCCAAGTGTCTGAATTTTGATCATGTGACCATGGAGAGGCTGCAATGGTCGTAAGTGAAAAATGGTCGTAAGTCACTTTTTTCAGTACCGTTGTAACTTCAAACAGTCACTAAATGAACTGTTGTAACTCGAGAGCTACCTGTATACCCTACTCCTCCCAAATGAGTAGACTGTGCTCAGAGGCTAACAGAAGATAATTTGGAGCTTTGGTTCCTCTGCCCCATTTTGACCTGGATATGTCTGAAATACGTTCCATTTTTAATGAACTGCAACTTTCCATTCCTTCAAAATTTAGATAAGTTGTGGTTGACTGCAAGGAAGGTTTGACTTCAGTTCTAAATTACAGGTACTCCTAAGTTTCAATTAATCAAAACAAAACAAAAGAGTGGTATGTAGACCTCTTTGTGACCACACCAAAGGGGAAAATGCTGTATGTAAGTCCAAGACCCAGATGATTAAATGATGGAGAATGTGTGGCTCTCTAACCGTTGCTGAACTCAGACTCCTAGTGTCCTTCATCATGGATGTATTGCCTAGAGTAGTTTAGGCAGCATCTAGAGGATGGGCAGTTGGGTTAAATTTGATACTGTTTCATATGGAGTAGCAAAAGGAAAATAAAAGATGGAGGGGAATCCTAGTTCTAGGTGTCCAACCTGTTGGAGTTGTACCACATTATAGTAATTAACCCTGAATGTCAACACAGTAGCAATAGCCATGAATCTCATCAGAATCATTATATGTGACCAGGTCATAGGCAGAGATTGTCTTTCTGTATCTGGTGAGGGTCTTTATATCCATGTGATTGTAGAAGTTGTGCTTGTTGTAGTATCCTTTCCACATGTGTAAGAATGGATAAAGCCTTTCTAAGTGGTGATAAGTCTCTTTGAAAATGGAAGACTTACGCATAGCAATAGAAAAAAAATCAGAAAATGTTCAGTGAAGCCCAGAGAGTCTGCAGGATTTGCTTTCGTGTAGAAAAGATGCATTTTCAAAAGCATTATCATTTTGCTGCTGCAAATATTGATGCTGTATTTTCCTAGGAGAGAATAGGGGTGTCTGGAAAACATCTGAAGTGGATTCAGATAGTGTGTCCTTTTTAATGTAGATAATACTGGTCCATCCTTATCTTTGTCAGCTGTGGATCTGTTTCAGCACTCTGTGTATCTTGCATCTCTCGTATATCTGTATTTGCAAATAATTGCAAAGAAAAATTGTGTGGTGCTCACTAGTGCTCTTTGACTAGACTTTTTCATGCACCAGTCTTCCAAACAGTGAGAGCGTGTTGCAGTTTGCAGTATTTTCATCTCCATGTTGTACCATCCAGTGTTACACTGGAGAATGGTGAATATTTTGTAAAAGGCGTTCTTATGATACTATCAGTTGCTTCCCCCCCCCCAGTATGTGACTTTCTGGTTTCCTGACCATAAAATGTTGCGCAGAAAAGAGAATATTTATTTAAAATGTTTATGAAGTAATTCTTTGCAACTAAATGTGCTTTATTTTGGGAGTTAGGAGTTTTTTCATAACATTAAAATCATATGTGAGCTTTTCTTTTATCAAATCTTAGAACTTGCCCATAATCCAAAGAATGGTAAAAGTTATTCGGGATGTCTATCTGTCTGTCTGTCTGTCTGTCTCATTCTTTCTCTCTCTTTCTCTTTCTCTTTCTCTTTGTCTTTCTCTCTCTCTCTCTCTCTCTCTCTCTCTCTCTCTCTCTCTGTGTGTGTGTGTGTGTGTGTGTTTATGTGTGTTAAGAGCAAGGAGAGACACTGTGGCCATGTTCTGATGATATGCTCATCATGGTTTGTCCAGAACATGCTTTGCTGTGTGTGATTCTTACCCATGGCCATCCCCACTTCATCCTTGGTTGCTTTTGACCTACTAAGAAATGTTTTAAGAGTTCTAATGTCATCTGCCAGTAGTAACGTCTCTCTGCTACTAAGCAACAAAACAAACTGAAAACAATTCTTCAGTTATTTTTCATACAGATAAATAAAAGGTGCTGGAAGATGATGCTAGGATCCTTAAACTTTAAATCAGCCAAGTCTGTGAGGTGGAAACCAACATGCCGAATTGGACTTTACTGAACATGATCTGACAAACTCAGAATGGAAATCAAATTTAGCTATTTAAGCACAAGATAATCTTAGATCTTTTTTCTTCATCTTTACCTCTTTTAGTGTTTCTCTCTCTCTCTCTCTCTCTCTCTCTCTCTCTCTCTCTCTCTGCCTTCAAGTCAGCTTTGATTCCAGGCAGCTGGCATCCCTGCAATTTTCTTGGCAGCATTTAACAACAAAAACAAATCCTTCTCACCCCTATGGGTAATATGTGTCTTCCTCAATCTCGGTCTTCTGCCAGAGGCCTGGGCGTTTGAAAGATCTGTGCAATATCTTAGCTGTTTCTAGCACTGCACTCTTCTGGACATCTGATATTGTTCCTGGGATCTGTTGGACCACTTTGGCCTTTACTTTCCACATCTGCTCTAGTTCTTCCTTCAGGTGCTGGTACTTTTCCAGTGTCTCATGCTCCTTCTTTCTGACGTTGCTGTCACTTGGCAACTACTACATCTATCACCACTGTTGTCTTTTGGTCCTTGTCTATGATGTCTAGTTGATTGACCAATTCCTGCTTGTCTGGATGTGGAAGTCCTACAGGATCTTAACCCTGTTATTCTATTATCCATGACTTTTTATGAAATTTCCCATCTGGTCTAGCCCATACATTGTGCAGATATCCCTACGCACAATGCCAGCTACTTGGTTATGTCATTCAAATATATACTCTTCCAGTGTGCTTCTTACATGTTGCCACTGTGTGTTGGACTATCTCCGAGGCCTCTCTGCATAGTCTCTGCACATGGGGGGCTTTCTAGTGTGGTAGACACTTGCTTCTATGATTCTGTACCCTTAGAAGAGAACAGTCTTTCCCACTAATCAGTAAAATAACACAATTGGATTCAGTTCAAAGAATATTGATGTAATTAGTTTAGTGCATCCCAGGTCATGTGGCTGTGTTTCTTTAATAGAAAACCTACATAGCCAACTATTTGAAAAGTCTACCTTAACTGAAAATAATTATAATTAGATGTGTTCATTGCACTAAGCCAAAACTGTTGCTTGCTTTATTTTAATCTAATGTGCCATGTGAATCTGGCCATTGTTGGTTGTAAATCATGGTTTGTGATTTAGCACATTTATGGAATAAACCATGGTTAAATAAATCGCAGCTGAATCTGTGAATCAGTCTAATTAGATCCCAAGGTTGTGCAGCATTTGATTCCAAAAAGAGTATGTTTGTGTATGTGTGTGTGTGTGCGGGGGTGAAATTGTAACACCTTCTGCAATTCCTTAATATTTCTGTATTCTTTTCCCCAGAATCTCATAGCTACCCTCCACATATTTCATCTAAACATAAGCCATTTCATGCTATATTAGTTTTCATGGTAATTTAAAGATGTTCTCCACACTTTAGCTGATCTAAAATAGGAGTTAGCTTTATTTCTTTTGTCTGCATGAAACATGCACGTAGTTTTGCTTGCACTACTTTTTCTGAGTAAATTTACAAAAATAATGACAAAGAGCACATTTTCCTTTGGCCTTGACATGTTTTCTGAAATACACTGTCCTTTAAATATTATTCATGCAGCAACTTATGTTTAGCTTTTGAGTTTCTACACATGAGACATCTGCACTATTTTAGCATTTTCAGCAAAGAAACACACTCAGATTATATGCAAAAGTATTATTTGGATATATATTGCTTAATATTTTTATACATTTTCACTACATTGCTGATCGTAGCAGGAATGCTAAAAATTGTCTTATGTGCCTCTTTACGCTTGTGCTAAACTGCCCTTTTTACAACTCTGGAGTTCTCCTAGATTGCATGCCAAGTTTCAGAAGCACAATTTTTCAGCAAATGTAATGGAATTGTGGCACAAAATAAGTTTCCTCAATCTTCCAGAAGTCCTACTGCCTTTCGCTTCCTTAAAACTCTCCATTTCCAAATGCTGAAGGAGAAACATGCATGTGTACTGGCCCTGCTCCTCCAGTGACAATACCTTGCTGCCACTCCATGCTTCCCACCGACCTTACCATATAAAGCTGCTGTCTTGGTTTTACCTCGTCATGACTGTGTCCTTAAACGTTATGCTATGTTTTGTTTGTTTGATTTTTTTGAAATGCTGCATTGATATACTTGGGCATTAAAAAGAGTAAATTTCTTTGCACTATGAAAAGCTTCCCTCTGTGTGGTGTGCCTTGATATTTTCTTTAAGAGATGGAGGGACATTTCCTGCCAGTTCCTCTTGAAACCCACGAAACATCCAAGTAGGATGGTGTGATTGGTGGTGAGGATTAGCTTTTTTTCTAATTAGATATAAGCTATCATCATAACCACGTTCATGTGACTTGGCCTAATACAAATGTCACTGACTCTTTGCAAACATTGAATTAGAGATTTAAGAACATACTCTCTCTTGCCTTTTTTTCTCCACTGAGCACTAACTGATGGTTTGTGTCCTTGGAACACCAGAGCAGAAGATGAGTTAATGCAAATGATAATTGTAGTTTGCTATCTGATTTCAGATTTACAAAGTAACTATTGGTGTATGTGTAATGTTCAACCATAGGCAAATACAGGTAAAACATGGAAGTACAAGTAGTCCTCTACTTACGACCACAGTTGGGACCAGAATTTCTGTTGCTAAGCAAGACAGT